GATGTAGATTTGTGAACATACTGAAGATGAATGTAAATTGTGATAATACACAAGGTTGTAGATGTGTCATTTCATAGTACTTATGGGACTAGTTTGGTTTTGAATTTGTTTCCTGATAGTTGTTGGCCCCTAATTTCATAATCATTCATTGTCTAGTACGCCCTTATGTTTCATTTTGGCTTTCTATTTGCAATCAGTTGCTACTAAGTTTTTTTTTTAACATATAATACTTAAACATTCAAGATTGATTGAATTTTACAATGAAGCACGTTTTGTGTTTTTGTTCGTTTCTTTCCGCATTAAAGTTTCATCACATTGTACATCTTACTTCCATGGAGGCAATTTTTTTTACGCATTCAAATTAAAATTATCACTTTTCGTAACTGAATATTCTACTTAGAATTAAATTATATGGTAAAGTATTTTTTATTCAAATTTTTTTTCACATCAATAACTCTCTCGTAACCTGTAAATTGGTATTTGTGATTGGTATTCAAATAATTCATAAGTTGTTTTGAGTTTGCAATTATGTTTACTCGAAACAATGTACACAAACACATTACAATTAATTAAAAACATATATGAAATGTTTTTTATATACATCATTTCATTAACTAAAAATTTAAATTATATCAATAATAACTTCTAGCAGATAGGTTTTAAAGTGCTAATTAAAAATTTGGACTAATTAGTGTAAAATTAAGGTAAAATTAAATTTGATTTTCAAATTAGTTGTGATATAAGTCAAAAAATGTGAAGTAAATAAAAGTTGTGATTTACAACTAAATTATGAGATATTTTGTTAAATGTCATTTGGATATGTTGTAATGATAAAATAAAAAAAGGTTAATTATCAATATATTATTATAATATAATGGTTTTGCCATTGTCATTTTTTTTAAAGATATCTTTACAAACTTCAATTGCTTCTTATTACATAACTAAGATTACTTTATTCCACTGTATTATGCATAGGAAAAAAAGGAACATTATCAATATTGAATATCTGAATTAATTGAAAAACTAATGATCTTGCAAATCATTTGTCTTTCTTTGACTTTTTTTTATATGATAACAATCATGTATTTTCAAAACAATATATTTGCATAATTTTATCTCTTGAAGTTTTTTTGGTACATTATGGAAAAAGCTTGTCATAATATCTAAAGATAATGCTGATAAAGTAAGATATCTTAGATTGAATCATTTGAATAAACTTTAAAACATAACTCTATTTATAATTAATATATTATGTTTTTTGCATAAGCTAAAGGTTTAGAAGTTTGCATGTGAAGAAGTGTAAAATGACAAGCTTTGATATGCTTCACATAGATACATGTATTTAATTTATTTCTATGAAAAAATTAATCTTTTGTAAATAAAACTAAACAATTCAACCTTTTGATCAAGCTTTATATCTTGTTGAAACTCTTTAAGTACCAATTTTGTCACTTTCAAATTTTCTTGTATGATCTTTTCAATGCATGTTGATCATTCAATATGCAAATAAAAGTTTGAAGTGAAATTTAAAAAGACATAAAATTGTTGTATTATCTCCACAAAAACTGTAAGAAAATCTTTATCATCTGAGTTGAACCTTTTCATGAGTGATTATTAAGTCTTTCACATTTGTTACCTGACTCTTACAATATGTTATAGTTTGTTTTTAAAAACAATTCAATTTTTGATTGAAATTTCAATACATAAATTAAGTCTTATTTATGAAACTAAGATTGATTAATACATAGTTTTTTTTTTTTAAAATTTACAACGAATCCATCATTATTGCAAATTGATGTCAACATGTTTCATATCAAGACTAACAATGTGAAATTTATCATCATAATAAAAAAATTAGTTATTGATTACTTCAAAATTAATTTTACATATTTACATACATTACAGATGAATCAAAACGATGATATAATTTTTAACATTATCATAAAATATTTAAACTTAGTCATAACTGATGTAATTTCATCTCATTTATTATTAGAAGATATTACTTTATAACCAATAAACATTTTTTTTCATATAAAATCACACTCTCACTTTGTTCAATCCAACTGCAATTTTATAATCCAATACTATCATCTCATCTTGTAAAAAATTCCATATTAAATATGTTTAATGAAAACTGCATACTGTCATATTTTATTACGAAACAATAAAAATGTTCATTACTTTTTTTTTTCAAAAATTATTATGCTTAAAGAAAAATATATAAAAATAAGATGTAAAATTTGTGACATTCAATTTTACGAAATTTTTACCGTATTTCTTTTCAATGTGAATTTTGAATTTTTAATCGATTAATAATGATTTTTGAAATTTTGCAAATTACTTTCATCTGAAATTTTTAATAAGCATATTTTACAAAGAAATTCATATCGATTATTTTAATATCATCTTCTGTAAAATCAATGATCTAGTATATACATATAAAGTTTTAAAATCTTGATGAGATTCCATCAAATGAATTTTAGTGAAGGATTTATGTATAGCTTATTACACTTATTGTAATTATAATCTTGAACTCTAGTTGTTTGTAAATTTGGATTTGGATAATATCATTCCTTGGATACTGTTTGTACTAATGTGAGCTATTTCATGAGGTCAATATTTGAAATATACATTCTTCTTTCACAATAATATAATATGTAGTATGCTATTTTTTTGAAAGTTGATGAATGTTATCTTCCTTCCAAATTGTCTATATAGAAGATATTACACACTTTATTATTTATACATTATGTAAAGTGATACTTATCACACTGTTTAATCATATTGTAATTTTTGTTATCTTTAGAAGATAATTTCACAGAAAATTCTTGACAACATATATAGAATTGATTAAAGTGACAAAAAAAGGGCCAACACCAACAAATGTGATAAATAAACAAGAAGCCAAGATGGAATTCAATAAGAACATAATTAGTGACATTCTATCTCAAAAAAATTTGGTTATTGTTTTGGAATCCACTCAACATATTCCAATGTACCATTAAAAGTAAAAAAAATTGACAGAAAATTCCAGTTTCGTATGATCAACCCTTTTCGGATGACTTGAATAATTTTCTCATCTAGTATTTTGAATTCTCACCATCGTTGTATTCAACACTAATTTTAACGCAATTAGACATAGTTTGCAACTTATACCAGCTATTTTTAATCTTTGACTTTTTTTTTACTCCTTCAACATTATTTTTTGTACAGTATGTTTAATATGTTTTCTCCTAAAACCTGTTTCAACATTTTCTATGATCCACAATTTCTTAAAACAAACAAACTGCTTTGTGACAATACTATAGTGTGCAAAGTTTTGATTTGTTGTTTTTGAGAAGAAAGATTAATCTTAATTCTTGCTTACTTCTTTTCAGTATAATTTTCAGCACTATTAATTTTGAAGTCTGGAAAATCATTCATCCATCAAAAAATAGTTTTCAATAAAAACCCACATAAGTCAGATTATCGGAATTATTCGATATGACTTTAAGTCTGTAAATGTGACATATACTAGAGAATAGTAGAAAATTACTTGATGGGAAGTCATCGTTACAAGTTGCTTGATGGGACCATCACGTTTAGATTTACCCGATATAATTCCGCCGAAGTGACACCGTTACCAAGTTCTAAACATTGTTTTTGTAAATACTTGCTATTGGGCTATAGTGTGGGGAAATGTTTGCTTGGAGGTTCCAACTTGGTTGAATCTATTTTTCTATAGCTGTGAGCAACTTTGCTTATGACCTTGAGATCCCAGCAATAACGTTGTATTGGATTTTAATTAGATGTGTTCGAATTTTATTTGATTTGCAAATTGCAAAAAGATGTTAGCTTCAAGAATGAGTTCTCTCAAAATCCAACTCCTAGCTGAACAATGAACTTCTGTCGTGCATAGACATTGCAACTAGTCTACGTGAAATGTGTGAACATACAAGAAGCTCATCAATGAGTACTTGAATTTTGTGTGTATTTTGTATGCGTGTATTATGTGTGTACTTGCGACTTTCAAGTACCGGTGGCTTGTGACGTGATAACTTAGAAGAAAACATAGTTCCAACCTCTCTGCTCATGAATGATCTCTAGGTTCTGACCTTGGATAATCCGAGGTTTGTGTTGAGATTAGTGTTAGTACTCCGTTTTGATATCAAGGTTATAACAAGAATTTCGTGACATCGGAAACGTCCTTTCGAGTAAAACCAAACTTGATGAGTTGTATCAAGCAATTTTTGTTATGATGAATTCCCATCAAGTAATAATCTCTAGAGAAGTGATAAAGATACTTCAAACCCAACTCCCGATAAAGTAATAGTTAGTAATTGTTCTATAGCTTCTTGACATTTGCATGCAATGGGTTTTCACAAATTCGAATGGAGAATATTTCACAACTCGTGTTCCAATAGATGCGTGTAATATTGCTACGTGAGATTCCACTGAAAGCAACTGGTTCCCGCGGACAAAGAAAAATTCAATGGTTGGACAACCCCAAGCTAACGGAGAGCTGGCACGGTGAAAAGTACATCACCGCTAGAATCAAAACTGGTACGAGAAGTCTCACTGGTCTACGTGAAACATGAGGAAATCTGTGTTACAGCGTCAAAGTATGCAGTAGCGGTTAGAGAGCTGCGTTGTTGCGTTGGTTTAGTGGCTAAAGCCATGCCTAAAACCAGGAGACACGTGCTCTTTACACACGACTCACACACACTCACTCGACAAGCGGCAACCTTTCCACCATATTCTTCATCTCATGATGATAATGTACTTTATGGTGGAAGTCCACCCGTCACAACGTGGCAGGAAAATTGGAAATGAGAGAAACAGGCCAGTAAAAGCTCGTTCCGGGGCTCCGCTGTCGCAATTTTTACTGCGGTGTGTGACTGCGAAATATCGCCTTCCGTTACATCATTCGCCTCGTCGATGTACCGCCAAATGTACCACCATGGGCTCTTGAATTTCTCGGAATGAATTAGAGTTCAAATTTATCTCTCCATTTAGCGTCCGAAATTGGGTTTGTATGCAGTATTGAGAAATAATTGAATGGTTTCACGGTAACACTGGACATGCACGTGAACCCGTTCGATTAGTAGTGAGGACGATTGGTACAGAGTTTCAAGTTTCGCTGGTGAAGTTCTATAGGAGCCAGTAGTTGATTAAGCCAATCGGATCGTCATGCACAGACGAATTCACAGCTGCAGCCTGTGAATGACACGCGTTGTCGGCCGTCAGTATACTTAGGGGCTCCACACTCCTCTCTTCACTCACATTCATCGTTAGCACTTTCATTGCCGAGCGGAACAATCTGAACTCACGCCTTGCACACGCCCAGCTGATTCTACTCGAATTCATTCTCGCGTATTGGTAGTTGCAAAGACTTTTCTCAACAAGCAGTCATGGCATCCTTACAGACTTCTGTCATCTCCGTTTCCAGTGTATCGAGCCTGGCTACAATCTCCACAGCTTCCAGCACCTCCTCCAGTACGTGTTGCAAGTCATGCGAACTTTTATGTTTTATTTCTCATTGTCACTGGAATATGTGTACATACGACTGTGGACTTTTTGTAGAAACTAGTTTGTATGATTGTGATACGGGAGAAGAGCTAGGAGAGGCAGCTCAATCGATCAATGACCCGCAGAGTATAAGTTGGTTGTTCAACTAACATCGAGTGTGCATGAAATCGAACAGGGGTAAGCGTGAAGGCATGGACAAAGCCAACTGTGCGACGAGGATTCAGCATTCGTGCTGAGTACCAGTCACCAGAGAAGGGTGGAGCAATGAGCCCAGCTCCCCCATCGACACCACCAGGCGTTTCAGGCACTGAAGTGCCCCTCGGTGTGTACACCTCGACTACCCCTCTGGAGCAGAAAGGTGTGCCTAAGGGCAAACGTATGGCCTACATCTGCCAGGACTGTGGATACATCTATGACCTCGACACTCCCTTCGAGGAACAAGACGATGCAACTTACGCATGCCCAGGTACGATATGTCCTCAGTTGCAAGCTCTCAGTTTTTTTCGGGCTAAAGGATGTATTCATATTAGATTAAGTCTGACAATCAGGACATTCCAAATCGAGGCTAATTCCTCTCCTTGGTGTGTGATCACAGTCTGCACAGCACCGAAGACTTCATTTATTCCAGCGAACGCCACATTGGATGATGAGCCATACGACGTGACCAAGGGTGGCCCTGCCAACTCCGGTCCCGACTCGGAGAGGAAGTCTCAAAACATGAATTAAGTCTTGTGAAGACGACAGATCGCAGCCCGATGAACTGTGTTGTAAATGTACCAGTACCGACTTAGTCCAACACTGCAGCTCGCGGACCTTGTTGCATGGGACTACATAGGCTGTAAATTCAGCAGTATTGTTGTCTAGATTGTGAGTTTTATCTTCCGATATGCTCTAAGGAGCTCCTCCGGAATGTACATCAGTTGTATATTAGTTCTTGGAGATTGACTGAGAGTCTATTAGGTGTTGATTGAGAGGAAAATTTTCTGGATCGATCGATCTACCTGATAATCAATTTGCCGAAATTTCAGTAAATATGAGCTCGATTAACCATATCACCGACTCTACCTTTTTCAACTTTGAATCATATCTCGATATATATTTGTTGACTCACATGTCAGTCCCACCACGAATTGTCTCAAAACTCCACCTTCTTATTCTTCTATTGTCTCGATACTCTTCTTATTATTCTATAGAGAAGATTGTAACTTTATGTATTCATGTATTCGCTGAGCACATAAGCCTTGAATAATACTCTTCAAAAATATAAAGTTGAAATGACAAACACAAGTAACAATCATCGATTAAAATCTAAACAATTTATTAAAAAGGTAAACATCTTTCTACCTTGATAAATCACCTACAACCGAAGCGGAATACTGAATATATATTGTAGCATACACCGACTATTACTTAGAGAAAAAAAGTAAAATAAAAAATCACAATAGTCATCTTATGAAATACATATCTGAAGAAGAGGGAAACATTACACATGAAACGCGAAAAATAAAGGTGAAACTGAATTGTTACATTACATTAAAGTCAGTTGAAAGGTAAAAATCGCCATGAATGTTCGACAAATATCTGCAATTCCAATGAACTTTACAAAGCCCACAGTGAGGTAGCTGATCTTCAAACCAGCAACCTCTACTCTAATAGTCTTCGTCCGGCGTTTCATGCCACCACTTCAGCGTGGATGGGCAAGGATTGGTTCCTTCGTTGCAATATGATATTCAATGCAAAGTTGACGTTGGTCCCACAACTTTTTCCCTTTTGATGCACTGAGATAGATGAGATCTTTCGACATTGACCTTTCACACACAGATGATGCCAGATCATCAACAAGCGAATATATGACGCCACAAGAAGTATGTAGCATTGATCCAAGCGTTACTAGAAATCAAACATCAACCTTGATGTTAGTTTGAAAGTTCAAGTTGACGTTCACTTCAACCATCCCGCATAATATCTCTCGCTCAAAGAATTCGTGTATTCTCCGGAACAGGCATGAGCACTATTAAACTCGAGGAATAAACTTGTATTCACATCGCGGTCAACACACTACCATTGGAACCCCTGTTCAATATTTACGCATTTTCTTTTCCCACTTTCTCCTGAAGTAGCTATAAAGTACGTACTCCCATCTTCAAAGTTTTCTACAGAGTATGTAAACTTTCTCCAGTTAAGTTCTCTTTTATGATATCAGCTTTTAGAAAACTAGTCCATCGAGCTAAACAACAACCCAATCTCCAACAAAAGATTGTAATCTCTAATCGCGAGGGAAGAAGGGCAATTTCTAGCTCTAAGATGAGGCGAGAGGGCGACATAATAAAACTGAGCATTACTCTGCGACCAACAATCCGTAAAGGAGGTTCACCAAGTACTTAATGATCCCCGAGAAACGATATTGTACTGACTATCTTCCACGAAGACAGGAGAGGAGCCAGCAGCAGTTTGCCTCAGGAAGACCCAAATCACCATTGGATGGTTGGACGAGTACGGTGAACATCTCATGAACTGGGTGACAGCGTATGTTTACAAAACAATAAGTGATCCGTCGTCCTTTGTTCGAGATTAGGCACATCCAAGCATGAATCTAACCCTGCAATGAGCGTGTCCAGATTTTCTTTGTTCCCTCTTATTTCTTCAATCACCTTCTCGTTGCGAAGTAAAGCTGCGCATACAGAAGATGCATAATACCTGACGTCCCTATCATCCCGCTCTCGGATTAGGCATATTAAATCTGTAACAGTTTTTATACTCATCGATAGGTTCTCTCGCTCCTCTAGATTGGAATGTACATTGGCTATGTCGTGTAATGACCTGACAACGGAGAGCTGCAGCTGTACAGGGTTATCTTCGGTCACTTCGAGCACTCTCAGCATATTTTCCAGAACTCCCGGACAGGTGGCAATTTGCAACGCATTGGCCCCATCTGCAGTTATCCCTTCGAAGATGGTTGCTACTTTGAGGCGCTGTACCATCTCCCCGTCATTCTGCTCTCCGCTCTCTCCACTCTCTCCACTTCTGTTCCCCAGCAGTAATATGGCCAAAGTCAGGAGAGCTTGTGGCTGCTTTGCTAATTCGCTGTAGTACTCAGGAACATTCGCCAAGGCGTGGGCGGCGGAATATTGAAGGTTCGGAATTTGCTTCTCCTCCAGCATGCGCACAAGAACTATACATGCTCTCTCTCGATCGAGAAAGCTGTTCATATTACCTCTAAGCTTGTCGGTCGCGAAAGCCAGCGTCGTGGCTGCTTTGACTCTCACGTCTGCATCCTCCTGGCTGTCCATCAGGAAGACCAACTGGTCGAGAGCTCCTTCCCTTCGACATATAGCCGCCGCCGATGGGCCGTCGCGTGCGAGAACGTGCAATGCGTACAGCGCGGCCTTGAGAACCTCCGACATTTCTCCCACGTTCATGTACAGCAGGTTCAGCAGCCTCCACAACGCCTGTGGATATAGGCCGATCAGGGCCCTCAATTTCTTCACGCGTGCCAGATAATATAGAATATATGCCGTAGTGGCACGGATCCGGCCATCGGCATCCCATCCCTCATCCCGCCCTTCTTCGCTCAAGAGGCCGACGAGGTCCTGGAGGAATTCTGATGAGTCAACAAGCTGAGTTTTGTATTCTACAGGGGCGTTCTTCAATCGTTCCTTCAGATCTACGAGCGAGTCCGGGTCTAAACTGGGCAACTTGTTCAAGAGGGCTTCTCTGAAGAATATCAATCTGGCGACTGCTTCCCGAACGTGCTGGTTGATTCGAATCTGAAAACGACAAGCCTCAATTTGGCTCAGGAGATCGATGTAATTGTTGCAGGTTTTGCTAGTCGGTTTGCACACTGAGAAGTGGTCGGCGTCCGCTATCATGGAACTGTCACAATCGTCGCCTCTCCAAGATGCTTCAGGCACCAGCGCGTCGTATATTCCCATTAGGTCCTGCATCAAGGAGAATCGTGTGCGTCAATGAGAGGCCCACAATCATATTATAAAATCGAAAGTCATCAGAACACGAACAGATCGACATTGATCGAGCGACCAGTTCAAACTTTAAACAATGTCTGAGACCAACACAGGCAACGAACGAAGTGAAACCATGAGCCAAGGGCGATGAATCCTCCTTCCTAGCGTCGACCAACTTTGCAGATCCACATAGTTTTACTCACGTGATCGGGGCCGAGCAAGAAGGTCTGAATGTTTAATCTAATGCGATCATGGCCCTTTGCTCTTTTGCGCGGGAGTTGAATACTTGAGACTCGAGGTTAATGGCGAATATGGTCCTCAGAGTTCCCAGCATTGAAGACAGCAATACTTGCAAAATCCAACTTTACTCTCGACCTTTCGGAGCCCTGATTAGCATTCGAGCATTTACAAAACAAAACTTATGTTTCATAGGGAGGGGAGCACCAGAAACGCACAGAGACATAGTTTAGGAAAGAAGAAAGGGATGTTCTAAGTCAACTCCTGGCAGTAGAGAAACTTTTGCATTTGACGTGCATGTAATTTAAAATGGCCATCCATGTCATCCGAAAACAATCTCGATACCGGCAAAAGAACATACCCACTTAATCATTAAACTTTCTCCGATTGTAGCCTTCCGCCAGTTCCTGTACAAGCTAGACAACTGCCTGAACTCCTTCTGTAGCCCTGAGAGGTACGCGTTATTAGTTCTGGCATTTCCACATACTGGACTGAGGGGGCCATTTGAATCTCCTTCCACGCGAAGTCTCATGCCATAATGAGGCGTTGAGTAGTAGTAAATCAGGATGATGTTGTCCAGGAACTGCTTGACCCTTCCATTGAATACGCTACTGCCGGCTCTCAGACTGTGGTGAGCTTTCAGCAGAAGTTCCTTGATAACGATTCCTCCAAGTGAATGACCCACCAAGATCACGGGTTTTGACCACATCTCGTACTCCTGTGCATGCAGGAATATGCTGGCTAACAAGTTTTCTCCTATTAGGTAGCAATCTTCTCTCCAGTTTCTCGATGCAACCTTCAGGCTAAGATCGTAAGAGGCAAAAAATATCTGGGCACCAGGCAAGTCTTCCGCCAGCCAAGCCATTGGCCAAAGAACTTCGTCACCGCTAGCATTTTGACAGATCGAAACCCAATCGCGGAAATACATATTAGCTATATCCTCTCCATCGTTACAGGGCCCGTGGAAGAAGATGATGGACATGCCGAAGTCATTTCTCTCATTGAGGGCGTATAGGTCATCACTTAGCCGCCTCAATGGAGGTTGGCTCCTCGACCTTTCTGAGAGCATGGTTCTGAAACAAAAGAATCAAGACAGCGATCATGAATCGATCGGAGGAACACAAAACCCTTTTTTGTTCCAAGTCAACGATCAGGAGCAAGCGGAAAGTCAGCTGGTGTCAGCAAGTTCAACCTCACGCACCAGTGCACCTCAAATCTACACTCTGCAATAAATGTATGACAACAATACTGCTACGGACATCGCCAATCTACGTCGAGAGTCCAAACAAAAGTTAGCAGAGGAGCCATATGCTCCATCAAGAGTACAGACGGGATGCTTGCACCTCATCCGGCAGCGACAAATTACTCCGATTTGACTTGGTTTAGACTGACATGCTACGAACCACGTCAGGAGTCTACTGTGAAGATGACTGCACTCGGAGCCTCTGTACCTTTGCTGGAATCCTTTGTGGGGGAAATACACTGCGTAATTTCGTCGTGATGTTTTGTGATTGAAGTAGCTTGTTCTAACATCTAGCTTTGTTTTGCTGTCAGAGACATTAACATCTCTCACGAGCTGCAGACGTTCGATTGACGCGATCGCATCAGAGCTTTCATTGGTGAAGGTAACCTGAAGTGGACCTCTTTCGTCAATGGTCGTTCAGCTGCACTCAGAGAATGACCTTCTGGTGTTCGCATTCACAAAGGCATGTTAGTTTCTTCTAGATACTGAAATGCAAGACGTAAGACATCTTTCACATATGAACGACGAAAGAAATTCTCGATTCATGAGTCCCAAACTGACAGACGATATCCAAGTTAATACGATAAAACCGATTCTTGCTCGTGGACTGAATTTCTGATTATAGAATGTACCTTCTCATCTGCATGGTCCAAATTCGGACATATTTTTTTGCCTCTCGTCCTTGACTTGGAATTCGAAGAGGAAGTGAATGATCAACAAAATAAAGAAACGACAAATCAAGTTTCTCTGTTAGCTGCAATCCTCCAGGCATGGAGCTAAAGATGTCAACGACAGAGAAAATTTGTCAGGAATCATTAAACTTCTCTCTTTCTTACGAATAAGATTACTATCTGGTTCGATTAGACAAAACAACCGACCACCATGGTCAATTTGAGACATCAACGCTATCAAGTCAGGAGAAAAGTCTCCCTTCAATAATTCTCAATCCATTTTATATCAGTAGGCCCGAATCTGCTCCTTATAAACAATGACAACTGCACACAACTCTCCTAACATGAGCTTTGGAGACAGCTGTATAATTCAAGGCGGAAATAAAACTGTAAAGAAAGGAGTACCACTTTTCTCAGATTCTATCAATGCAGGAGACCGTATATCACTCGTGTCCAGCAGAGTTTTACATTCTCTTTACTGTAGGTACAGTCTTACGATATTTACATGCTTTTATGACATGATTAAGAGTATTTGAAATTGTCCATTATAGTTGAATATAACATTTCCAATGAATCATTGTTGGTAGTGTGCACCAAGGATATATATGTATACCACGGCGGTCATGAGCTGCCCGTCAGCTTTACATTTCTTTTGTGCTCTGATGCTAGTTGATGCGTTTTTGGCACAGGTTACAATGGTCGGAGTCCATCCTTTCCAGAGTTATATGAAATTTTCTTGACTTTTACTAGGAGTGACGTTCTAACTTGCTGATAAACATTTTTCCGATTTTCTCTGTTTGAACACTTTCATAGTATTATGGCATTTGAGTGAGGATTTTAAGGATTTACGTGAACTACCTTAACTAGCATGAGTCCCACCATTATATTACAGACATGACGTAATTTGAGTGAAGAATCTGTAGGAGCTCCTATAGATTCTTTCACCCAAATGACTGAAAATAACATCAGAGGTCCGACCTAATCTTGAGAGGCATCGAGCGGATTTCGCCCACGATCAAATGTACAACTAGTCCTCGAAATCTATTCACTATACTACGGGTTGCGAGCTCTACAGCGAGGGTCTTGAAATGTGTTGTTTATGTGACACTTGAGACAAACCATTTATTATCGTTTCAATAGTCATCAATAGTGTTTCTAAGAATACTTGTAGAGGTTTCTTGAGGATTTCTAAACGAATGTATAGTTGAGAAAGCTTTATCTCTTTTTCTTCTTTCTTGCAAGCTTTGAATATCGTGGTAAGTGTCATTCATACTCCCAATATATGCAAAGACTATGGAGTTCTTAGAACCAACATTCTCAGGCACTTTTTCTAAGATTGAACCAGTATGAATGTCGCAAGAGTCTTCTTTCAATGGTGTCGAAAAAGAAGATGATCATCCAGAAACTCCACATCATCAACCATTGATTGCAGAATAGTAGCAGTAGGCACATAACATGTTGTTAATTGAGTCTTCGACCGACAGAACTAGCATCAGGCTGAATAGCAATTTAGTCTAAACTATTGAGTTGATCTCCGGATGACAAGTGAGACCTACTGGACTAAGATTCGAATGCACCAACATTGGCTTTGACAGTGAAGATGTGTACAAAATTCATTAGGAGTCTTTTTATAAAGAACCTTATAGTACAGGAGCAGTGACAACACATCATGATGCCAAAAAAAATCGTGTCGACACCAACTAGTAACACAGTTTCTGTGGAGTAGTCAACTAAGCTCATGAGGACTAATATGCATAAGCTTCAATTGACTCATGTGCAGCTCGACTCTCTAAGGACCCCTAGGACATTGCACATGATCAACAGATTTCTAGCTCTTGAAGTGTGTTAACTGTTGATTGTGTGCGAACTGATTGTATGCAGCATGCACATTCTCATCTAGCGAGCTACGTACGCTTCACATGCGCTCTTTTTCTTTCAACTTCTGAAGACCCGCACTGTGATCTCTGCATTCACATCTTCCTTCTTCGACATTCTCAGCTCAATCAATTCTACTCCGAAAAGCCTTTTAGTAACATTGACTGAGGCGGTGTCAGATTGTCCATAGGAGGTGCCAATAGACCCATGGATCTGATTGATGATTGTGGTATATATGTGATCTTTACTCTTTACAATAAAATTCGTAGCATCGAACAGGGAGTTCAATTGCTGTTATGATGCAAGACTGCCATTGTCATTTAAGTACCAGGCGTTATCCGCTGCCGACGCTGCCGACAGGGAGAGAAGAACCTGTTTCGTCTGCAGGAAACCATTCTGCGTTCTGTGGGCAAAATAATTCTAATGCCAGGATTCTTGACCGATTTGTAGCTCCAAACCATGGGTTCTGAAATTCATTGAAATGGTTTTTAACATTACGTAGAAATGCTCGCGCTTGCCTTGGGGTGTGAAGATTGCCACGAATCGGCTCGAGCAGTCGGATCGTAGTGTTCAGAAACAGGAAAAGGATCATTCGCCGTTGATTCGGAGATGACGGTTTGGAAATCATCTGATTTCTCAAATGCCTGTTACTGTTGTGTACATAACGCATCGTGATGTTATTCGACTATGGCCCCAAGTCAAGTGTTTGGTTTCATCCATATAAGATTTTGCTTGACGGTTCCCATCCTTCCACTTACTTTCCATTCTACTTCAGTCGAATCAACAAAAACACTCGTCGAAATAACAACCACAAATCAAACTGGTTGCAGATGTGACAGGAGCCCGTTGACTGACTACTTCGCATCTACATTGCCAGCAGAAACGACAAATCAACTGCAAATTGCCTGAACCTAAAGCTGCTCGTCGACTAACGGAAAACCGGTAGCCGTTTCTCCCGTAGTCGGCAAAAAGTAATGGGAAAGCTTGTCTCTGGATATCAGAGCGAGGTTTCGATCCTCGGACCTGTGGGTTATGGGCCCACCACGCTTCCGCTGCGCCACTCTGATCGGATGCTACATAATATTTAGAGACAATATCTATTCTTAAAAATTAAGACCAACCGCTTGAAAAATACGTCAATGAGTCCTTTAATATCTCTATTTAAAACTTCATTTTTCGTTAGAAAATGATTTTTTCATATAAATTCATCATTTTCTATTCGATCCAAGTCAATTCAAAATTCCTTTTCTTCAAAACCATTGCATAGTGCAAGCAAGCAAGGAGTATATTTAGTGTTTACTGTCTCCATCTTCTTATACCGCTTCACAACATAGCTCAAATCATTATATCGTGTGAAGATCTTGAGGTCATTTGATGTTAAATGTCTCTTAGCCTTCTCACGCTCGAATAGTAATCACCTCATTCTAGCTTCCTTACCTACTCCCAAAAACTCCTATTTTTTCCTTCGACGATTTTACTTGTGTCACAACAGAGGTCTAGGTCATTGTAGCTTGCAAATTCTTCTTCAATTCTAGCTTTTGCTTTGTCATATTCTCCATCATTTCAACGATTTCATTTGCAGTTTAAAGATTCTCTTAAGTATGATATTTTCTCTTGTAAGCTACGCAATGCATAGTGTAGAGCCATCTCGTAGAGCATTTGATTCCACTGGATCTTGTACTTTTTTACAAGCTGCAATAACGATCAGAGAGGTTTTTCTTCACCTGCTCTGTGACCTTTCTCTATGGCTGAGAAACTCTTGCTTCTCTTTCCATGTAACTCCACTGAGTGATAAGTGCAAAGTAATCAGTTTCGGATCCTCCCACCATCCGATCTAACAATTTAGAGACAACTTCGATTAATTTTCTTCAAATACCATTCCCCATAGAACAGTCGGATCTTCAAGCACTACTCATTAGGCTTTGGGTTGATCCACCAAGTTGCTTCATCCAAGTTTCATCTCCTCATACAAATTAAAATGATATGAAACTAGAAATATCTTCTTTTCACAGGTGTGTGTGCCAACTCATCTGCAAATTCATATCCACGATGAATGAAAACAACACATCACACTCGATTTGACTTCTCTATCATGGCCTGAACATTCCATGCGAGTATAAATTCCCATCTCTCAATCTTGAAACCACTCACCCACGACATTTACCTTTTCCAAATCGGAACTTTTCCACTCCGAAGTTATTTTTGTGGAGATTGTTAGTTTCGTTTTTCTGTGGTAAATTTGTATTACCAATGAATTTCATTCTTGTTTTGTGGTTTTGGAGTTGACATATAGTTTGCAATTGGGCACAGAAATGATTTGATAAAAGTATTCTATTTTCCATGACATGCACAATATCAAAAAAAAATTCCTGAATGTTGCAAATTATAAGATGTGTTTATTACATTTCCTTCACTCTTGTAAAATGAATAATTTTTTTCTCAAAAGGAAATGTAGAGTTTTCCTGTTTTGATCGCTCTTTTCCTTTACTTTTTTCTATCATCGTGCATTGTGCACATTTTATTATAAATAGTATGAAGGAAAAATTGGTCAGAATTAAGAGGTAGATGATATGGCGCATGTTTCTTGTTCTATTGAATATACATATGGATATGTTGTTGCCATGAATTTTGTCATACAGTTGAGGCAGGCAATCCCAGCGAAGGCGATATTATGTCACTATGATTTCGGCGTAATCTTACTCCGACTTACTTGGAGCGGATGAGCACACAGTGAATACGGGAATTTGGAAATCAGATGTAAGTTACACGACATGCCCATGACAGGAAGATTAGGCAGGACTCACGGCCATGGCTTCAGTCAGACATAGAGGAAACATTCACATTGAACTTCTCTTCAGTAGAAACACCACAATTTAGATTTATTATACTGCAGGTGGCATGCAAAGTTGCAGGTGGCATGTCTTTACAATCTCCCTTACGAGCTGAGACTCTTTCGACTCTGCACCCATCACGGCTACAGCATCCCGAGCTTCATCGGAGTGGTAACATAAGGCCTCAGACCGAGAGAGATCTCCAACTCGTGTAGACAGTGTTTGCAATACCTAGAAGTCAGCGGTAGAAGCGACTATGGAACCTCTTAGAGGACCGCTACTTGTGAGCTGTATAATTGCACCATGCTGTTACAGTTCATTCCCACACTCCTCTCCGGACACCATCAACACCTTCTATCGCGTCGACTGTAGGCGAGCCAGTAAGTTCAAGTCGGCGAATTCGAAGTCCTCAGACCACCTTGGAGAGCGGACAACTGCTGTTCGCTAATCATTGATCACTTGTTGGTGGGCTGGTGGACGATGAACATGGCGCACTGCACCTGCCTGGTGTTGTCGAATCCCAAGCACCTGATGTAGCACTTGTGTCCGTACAACTTCTTGCATTCCTCAATCTCCCTCAACACTGAAGCAGAGTCAGTGCATCCGAACATCGGCAGCTTCCACATGGTCCAGTAGCGACCATCGTAGTATCCGGGCATCCTGCTTCCCTCACGGGTCACAGCTCCTTGCTGTAGAACAGACAATGAAAACAGCACCGGTCAAAACCAGACCCTCGAGGTCACCTCAACTTCAAAACTTATTCATACACTTCTCGGTTCAGTACTAACAGACGCAAAGAAAATGTTGAAATGAGAACTAATATGATGAGAACTTACGGTGTCGAACTCAATGCAGGGAGCCCAACCAGACTTGATGACGTAGTCGATCTGCTTGGCCAGAGCATCCTGGCTCAGGGCGGGCAAGTAGGAGAGGGTCTCGAACCTCAGGTTGTTGTATGGCTCCCACACCTGAACATAAATCACACCACATGTATCAAGTATTGCACAGGGGCATTGCAGAGCAAAAGACACGGCAGACACTGAAAAATTTTCACACAGCTCCGGACCTCTCCCCCATTGCCATCACTGGTCAAACTAAGAAATCTCCAGACCTGCTCACAAGAGCGGGGGAAAAATCACGAAAACTTATCGTACCTGCATGCAGGAAACGCGGCTGCCGTTGGTCTGGGTCTTAGTTTGCCATTCGCTCTTGCCACCGAAGACTCCAGCCTTGAGACCGGCCTGGACGGACACGATCTGGGAGCTCTTGGTGGTGGAGGAAGCAGCGATGGCTGCGACCGGGGTCACCACAGCGGACGATGCAACGACGGAAGCCATAGCTGCAGCTAGAGCGAGGGGGGAGAGAAGACTTGCGGAGAAGATGTTGCGAATGCGGTGGGATTGAGGAAAGAGGAAGATACAAATCGCTAAATAGCCCAGGCAGTTCGATGATATGAGCGAGACGAGGCAGGAAATCTGCAGAGGAAGGAGAACCACAAGCTGGCAGTGGATTGAGTTCGGGGCCGGGCAGTTTTCGTCCCCCGTGTGCTTTCCACGTCGCCGAGGACCTTGAAATTCTACTGGACATCTCTCGATAAACTCCCGAACTTTTCAAACGAGTTCCGGGCCTGAAATGTCACATTGCGGTCGTCAGGTGCCAACCGCACTCCCGGTAGGCGCCGAAGCCGCACAACGTCATTATCCGGTCAGGAAACGGGGACAACTGCCGACAATTATCCGCCCCATTATTCTCCTCGACGCAATGTGCTCGTATCACCCGGTCCCCCGTCTCTGAAACGCAAACGTGGGGCCCGGGAACAAATCACGGCAGTAAATCCGATATCATCTCCTATCGGGAAAAAATTCGTGTGGATGGCTGGATTTCCTCCTGTGTATCTGGTCGGAACGTACCTGGTCACCATGCCATGGTCGGAATCAGCCCGCGAGCCTTGATGGGGCTTTTCTCTTGTTTCACTGTATTGTACTGTAATTACTCTAAGAACCAAAGAACGTTAGACGAGCAAGCAAGATAGCACACCAGTGCGAAGTATTCCATGGATGAAACCGAGGTTTACGTTGTGGCTAGGTCCCATGGCGATGTTTCACCTTGTGATCTATGACTTACAGCACCCAATGTTTCACGAGTAACTTCAGCCTTCGGTTTACATAATACTGGAGTGACTACGTAATGGATGACGCAGTTAGTACCTTACTCGGTTTATTTCGTGATTCTCTCTTCAATGTCCTGGCCTTCGGACTCTGATTCCTTCTTCATTCCTTGTATATATGCTGTCTTGTTTCTACATCTGTTCACTTTTGCCTTCACGCACTACTCAAATTCTAGCCTCCAAATTCAGTTGTCACTTTTCTGAGTACTTTAGTCTAGATGGAGTCATTTCATGCTTCATTACCACCATCTCTTGATGCATCTCAAGATAAATAAGAACATATTTATCTTGGATGAACTTCTGATTTAGACATATTGGAGATAAGCTGTTTCGAAACAAGAGTGAAGCAAATTCCATCACCCATAAGATGTTAAATCTTTTATGAAATCCTTTTTGAGTTATTTTTTCAAATCATGAAAAATTAGTTATCTGAATATTATGACATGAGAAATACAATGATACCTAACCCCGATAATTTATATAAAGTATGAAATTTTTTTAGCAAATTTTTTTTTCGAAATCATTTTTCATGGTTTTTTATACTTTGAAATGAGAGAAAATTGCTATAAACATCATATCTAGTTGCTACGCAGAAGTTCTTAACTTGATAATAAAAAAATCTTCAATCTCTTGAAGGTGGAGATTTTTGACATAAAATTACCCTGTAATTGAAAATATATTTACTTTCTTTATTGAAATAAAAGATAAATGCATATTACGTATTTACCATTATTTTATATATATTATACTGAATTAAATGATAATAAAAAATACCACGTTTTTTTATTGATCCAAGATTGATATATATAATTAAAGAACACACATCAAACAACTTGTAATACAATAATGAAATTTAGTGATTCACTTTGGGAAGATTACATAAACCAAATCAATACAAAAAATAATTAAGTAGCTTAATCTACAAGAAATAAGGCTTAGGTCAAGTCTGAAACATAGTAAGTTTATTAAGGCATTGATTTTCTTTTGATAATCTTTAGCTAATCAATTCTTTAGCCAGCTAGCCTATCATTATACGAGCGAGCTGGTCATACTTCTCTATGACAAATATTACAATTTTAGTCCGTGACTTTGACAAACCGTAACAACAGAAGCGAATTACATTTCTCGTGCGAAAACTTTTTGAAAATGCATGTCATTGTCTACAAAGACGTCCATTACATACAGGTAATCAACATAACTTTACTGATCGGATCTACACTATAAAATCATTGGTTATCAACACCTTATAATGATATAACAATAATTTGTGGAGTGTAAATATATTTAGTTTTAAAACTAAGTATATATATATATATATATATATATATCTATCTATATGATTCATTTTTTATTTTTTAATTTTATTTTAGTATATGATTTTTTGTAATAACATGTGTTAATTGTAATAGATTATGTATTTTGAATAAATAAATAAATATGTATATATATATCTTTGATATGAAATATCTCTACTTGTTGTCAAGTTTTCTTTTTCATTATCAATCTCGACAAGTTTATTATTTTTTTAAATATAATGTTGATATATATAATTATCTCACATGTCAAGTTTTACAAGTGTAATAATCATATGTATTGTCTTCGATACTTGAGTCCCTACAAGCCATTTCTATCTATGACGATGCATCACCATAGTCTCCCACCGATGTTTGAACATAAAATTATCAAATCTATCACTTATTTTTTCTATAAATACCGTTAAGTTTTGCATTGTAGTCCCCCGCAAGGAATATACTGTACATTAAAATCCATAAGAGGCAATGAAGTATTATGCATTGAAGGTTCTAGAAACAATTATATGTAAATTTTTTAAGATTTCAATATTTATCCCATTCAATATCAAAAGATACTATAAAATATTAATACATGAAGATATATTCATTTGATATCATGGTTGATACTTGAAAAGTAATTTTCTTAGCTTAAATATACTGTGATACAATATTTTACTGTAAGGATTACAATGGGTTGTCTAGACTATCAGATCATGGTATCCATTAAATAAAATGTATCAACATGTAATAAAATTCCAAAATAGACAGATCTAATTTGTTGAATATGGACTGCAAGATATATAACTTTATTCGATATCATAGACAATAATTGCGATGATTTGATTACCTTGCCGATATAAGATATAAGGCTCTTAGATCTGTGTTCGAACTTTTCTATCGGCTTCGCATGATGTGACATCTGTCAAGACGTGTGAAGGCTTATCACGAAGTTTCGGATTGTATCGGATAAGGCCGAGGATCACAAGTTCGGAAAGAGCAGCCCGGGCAATCACGTTCTTGTATGACGGCCCATGTTTGACGCTGCTGAACTGTTGGTCGGTCTATTTCGAAGGGCGGCCATGCCGGCAGGCGTGGATGAGCTCGACTCGGCACGAACAGAATCGAGCTTGTAGCAATTCCACAGTTTTCAAATGCTTCTCAATTACGCTCATATTATCTCGCCATAAGATGAACTTGTTCTCAATGGGACGGAAAGCACATCGATCTGATTTTACATTATTAAACATTTCCGGGAGACTGAGATGACAGGACGAAAGTGTAGAATCTCCACTTGAACATTCCCGGAAGAAGGAGATCTGCATTTTCCTATATTTTAAATAGATCGAAAGGTTTGATTCAATGGAGCCAGACAAAGTCGCACACTCTTGAAGATCCTCTGTTGTTCATTCCTTAATGTTCTCGATTCCTTGTTACCTTGGTGAAGTGCAGAAGCTGTGCATTGGTTCAGACGATAAGGCGGCGATAAAGCCGTGAATTCTCGAACTAATTACTATCGGCATTGCGCTTTCCTCACAATTATGCACTTTCACGACTTTTACAGATCCCAGAATTGAGATGTTTGTGACAAATCCTATTGGTTACGAGGATAATGCACAATCCAGTCACGATGGCGCACTTTTATAAAGCCCGTGGGGAAGCCGCATTTGTTGGGATAAGACTAGACGATGATCGATTGGAGGAATTTATCGTAGACGGAGGACTTGATGATTCTCAATCCAAAGCAAAATACCTTTTCTTAACATTTCGTGTGCGCTGTTGGAGATTTGCCACGATCTGCCCGATGTGGGAGTCATTCGTTTCTGAAGCAGCGAAATCAAAGGGTACGTGCATTTTTGTTTGTCAAAAGTGCAGGGCACGGAGACAAGCTTTGAAGCTTGTAAAGCTCGCAAGGTTCTCGCTTTCGAAGATATTTGTACAAAGTGCAGGCTACAGAATGTCGAGAATAGAACTTGGGTCGGAATGTAATTTTGATCCTATTTCTTCTTTGTCTCTTCATCTGGCAAGTGGTGTTCAGTCGATTAATAGAAAGTGTACGATGATTTCTACAAGCAAAGAGAGACCTCCCTCAACCATAGCGCCAAGGCCTTACGTAACAGTGGAGCGTAGCATTTGGTGTCCAAGAGTATTTACAAGCGTAACTTCTTCACATAGCTTCAAAAATGCGCTTCTGATATCACCTTCACTTTTTTCATCTGGAAATCACTTGCTCTGGTCCACTTACTTTATGCCCAGTTTTTTTATCATTGAGAAGCAAGAATTTAGAGAAAGAACATACATGGAACTTCATCTTGGGGTCGAAATTAATTCATGATATTACAACGGGCAAGTTGACTGTAAGCACGTTTCTTTTCCCTCAGGTGTAGAGCTGTTGTCGTAAATGTTATCAAAGACCGACTATTAGGTACAGAGATTTTTGCCTTAATGTACGAGGTTTTTTAATAAAAAGTACTATTAAAAAGCATTAAGGAAGAAGTACACTAAAAATTCCACTTTTAACAGAAACGTTTCCTCTTATTTCAACCTTCTCAACATACATTTGTACTGTAATTCAACAAGTTCTGACAGAGCAATGCACACACACACACACATCTCTAGCATCTGTTACATTTACTTAGACTGTGTTTTTGGTGCGTGATTTCACTGATTTGAATTATTTGTAATTTTGTTATCTTAGTTCTTTTGGATACCAGTGTGTCAACTTACTGAGAGCTGATTACCGCGAGGACACATTAATCCATGACACTTCCAGAGGAAGAGAGAGCTACGCCTGCCCAGCTGATAGAGATTAGACGACGTGGAGGCCGGGAGAAAGGATCCCCGGCTGCTCTTAGCTGCATCTTCATCCGGAGGCTCTCACACCCATCAACTGCCATCTTCAGCCTGTGGTTGTCCATCCTCATCATCCCCTTTTCCTCCTTCTTGCTTGACTATTAATCGTCCGAAACAGGCCTGCACGCTCATCTGCCTCCATTCTTACAGCCATACTCACTCGTACGGCAGAGCCTTCTCTCTGCAAACATGGCTTCCGTCGTCGCATCGTCCGCTGTGGTGACCCCGGTCGCAGCCATCGCTGCCTCCAGCACCACCAAGAGCTCACAGGTTGTGTCCGTCCAGGCCGGTCTCAAGGCTGGAGTCTTCGCCGGCAAGAGCGAATGGCAATCCAAGACCCAGACCAACGGCAGCCGTGTGTCCTGCATGCAGGTACGACTTGTCGTCGTGATATTTCCCCAAGCTCTGGCTAACAGCTATGGAGATTAGTGTCCTTGTCGATCAGTGATGGAAATGTGGGCGAGGCCCGGAGCCTCGTGAACGGAGCCTCCAATGTCTCGCCTGCTTTACTGCCCTGCAATGTCCGTGTTCAGCACTTGATACATGTGGTGTGATTTACGTGCAGGTGTGGGAGCCATACAACAACCTGAGGTTCGAGACCCTCTCCTACTTGCCCGCCCTGAGCCAGGATGCTCTGGCCAAGCAGATTGACTACGTCATCAAGTCTGGCTGGGCTCCCTGCATTGAGTTCGACACCGTAAGTTCTTCGTCATACTAGTTCTTCATTTCAGCATTTTCTTAGTGTCTGTTAGTACTGCACCGAAGTGTATGAATAAGTTTTGAAGTCGAGATCACCTCGGGGGTCTGGTTTTGACCGGTGCTGTTTTCATTGTCTGTTCTACAGCAAGGAGCTGTGTCCCGTGAGGGAAGCAGGATGCCCGGATACTACGATGGTCGCTACTGGACCATGTGGAAGCTGCCCATGTTCGGATGCACTGACTCTGCTTCAGTGTTGAGGGAGATTGAGGAATGCAAGAAGTTGTACGGACACAAGTGCTACATCAGGTGCTTGGGATTCGACAACACCAGGCAGGTGCAGTGCGCCATGTTCATCGTCCACCAGCCCACCGACAAGTGATGCGCAACTGCCTCTCGACCGGTGTTGGGAAACTGAGATGGAATCACGCGGATTTTCATGCACCGGGTGTTTCGTGAATGTAGATGCGATGGGCAAGATTTCAAATGGCTTGTGTTGACACCCTGCGTACCCTCCTGGGGAGAGGGTGCGGGGCAGGACGTCCTGTGATAGAATGTAGATTAACGACAGGACCAAGCTGTGACCAGGAGTGGCCAGTCGAGCAAATAGAGGAATCAATGTCCCAGAGTTTCACGTACCTGATGTAGAGATCTGTACCATTTATAAAAATTCTCAACTTTTTGAGTTCAAAAATTCTCTTACTACTTGATCGACGTCGAGGAAGAAAATTAAGAACACGCCCAGACAATGTGAGTTCTGTGATCCGGTCATTATGTGATGCCAAGACAATGTGACAAAATCTACATATAATCGTGATGTGTAACTTACGGATTGTCTCGGAGATACAGTTCGGAAATATCTGGAACGCCTGCGAAATTACGGTCTGAAGGAAAATACGCACATCAACGATAACCAAGCGCGGACAGTTTACAGAACTATTCTGCGGCGACTTGAAGATACTATTGGCAGAAATTACTGAAGACTATCTCATTGTAATCTACTCCATGAAATTTTACCGTTGTGCGTAATATTAGACTAAAATTCACAAAGTATACAAAATTTCTCGCCAACAGAAGTTGGAGGAAGAGAGTATAACGATAAAGAAATTTGATCACTAAATTCTATGTTCCCTATATATCAAGTGTAAAATAATTCAAAACTGATCCGAAAGCACTCTCTCTGGGCTGAAGATGAAAGTTTGAAAAATAAAATGTGAACAAATAAATCTTGAAAGATGTATTTATATTGACACTATAATACCTGGCAGAATTTAACTTAATCAATGACACTGAACCCATTGGTGAATTGGTTCTGGGAAATAAAAAATGCCCTGTCAACAGTGCAAAAGAAAAAAGCACTTTGATCCATATTTCTCCTGCATATTTGAAACAAAGGTTGTGTTTCTTTTGAGCTGAGAATGGTAATCGTTTACAATTCTCAGTTCAAAGGCGGTATGCGATGCATGCCTTGTGTCATCCAATTGGTACGAGGTTTATGAGCTCTCCGAAGTAGGCACTGCCATCTGACGACCCCACTTCTCATAACTTGGGGTCGAAACCCGAGATTAAATTTGTCTTAGGGCCTGCTGTGCGGAGGATTACGATCTTGTACAAGGACACTTTGTGTTTTGCACCTTACTCTCCTTTGGATACTATTTTGTTTCTGCAAGATTCTAGCTTTGTCTAGTTTTGTCGTCTAGACATGCTTTTAAAGTTTGTATTGATAAAGTCTAAAAGTTCACTTTTGTCATAAAGTTGATATTGTCTTATTGATTATGACATGACTTCCTTTTGCACACAGCCGGAATTATCTACTGAGGTCAGAGCTCTACTGCACTTGAAGAATTGAGTGGCTAAGATTTGATCCTGTACAGGATTCCATGGGGGCCACCAAATTGTGAATCTTCCTGGCTGGTTTCGACAACCTGTGGCTCAGAGAGAGCAACCTCCCACCGATTAATGTGATTGGCTAGTTTGCCCTGTCAGTGACCAATGCGGGTTCCATCGAGTCTTTCAACCTGATCCTAGCTGCCTTGAGTCGGAGATGTGGTAGTGATAGTTTGTCGCAGTCGCTCCATGCAGGTTTCCACTCGGTGGTCACTAGTGCGGTTTTCGTTGGACGGAACGTATTGATTAACTCCAGATGTAGGTCATTGGCTGATCCGTTAACCGGTGTCTACATTTCTCTTATCAGACAGCTGCTGGTAGCCGATCCCGCAAGGTGTAGTGCACTGTTTTATCGTGAAGAACTCCAGTAACAAAGTGTAGTCACGAATTCCAGATGCCATTCGCCTCAGGACAGATGTTGCTGGCGTTGAGTAGATCTCTGTGGTATGCCAATTTGGGTGATCGGAAGCCTTACTTCAATTTAATTTCAGAATCTTCTCTCTCTTTCTCCCCTATGTTCCAATGTAGAAAAATGAAGGAATTGCCGTGGCATCCTTATCCAATGCAAACTTCTGGATAGAAGCTTCGTAAAGAAGGCAGCTGTTATGTACCCAGATTCTGCACTTTAAAACCCATCTACTATTCGGCTCTCTCCAGCACAATTGCCAAACCATACTCGCAGTCACATTTCTATAATTGGTCTTTTCAGTTGAAGGTATCCAAGAGGCAATGTTCTAATGCATTGACCCTTACACACCGGAGGACCCCAAAAGGTGTACAACATCTTCCGAAGGGTGAATAGTTGGATTGAGCAGAGAAAGAAGAGATCGATGGAGATTATTCGTATCGGTGGAATTGGGTATTTTGTTGTACAGCTTTGTGCGTGCTCGTGTTAGTTCCATGCTGTTTGAGGGTCAATGCTTACATACCTTCGCTGGCATGACTTTTATTCTGATCTTCCAGAGGTTTTCAGATGTCAGAATTCACAAGTTCGAGGACAGTTCTCAAGTAATCACACTTACACTGTGTACGACGGTATTGCCTGCTGATGGCTTTGTACACCCTTTGAAGATTTCCATCGACCAATGTTCTGAGGCCCGTCTGAGAGCTCGCGAGCTCGCGCTGTACTTTTCTAGATGTATTATTGGTGTTGTTTACGATCAGTGTCGACAGAGCTCGGTACCAAACCCCACCGCTGTCTTAGCCGGTTGCTCCAATTGTTGGAGGTCGGCATACAGTTCATTCACTGGTGTGCTCGTCAAACAGACAGTGGCGTGTCCAGCCAATTTCTACAGAGTTTTATTGCTGGTTAGAAATTCTTGCTCAATCAACGTCCATCGAATATTTTCCCTCCCAACACAATGTGGACATAGACAATGATCTATATACATAAACTTCACTCCAACACAGCATGGTTGTTGTGTACAGAGATTGAAACACCCAGGAAGCCGCGGTCGCAACCACATGGCTGCTGGATCACAGGAAGCGCAAATTGTGCGCGTATCTTGCTTGTGCAAGTCCATCTTGTTGGATGGACAAATCCTACTAGACACCCATTGTGCACTAAGGCCACAGAGCAGAACAGGAAAATCAATGAATGAGTTTCTGTGTCCACACCATTCAGGTCCCAAACAAACATAATCTTCAGAGGTCTAAACCGCAATATCGCATACGCTCGTAAACTGACAGCACTTTCAGTCATGGAGACGTCCCACACCTCGACATCGCATGCAGTGCGTGTATCATGTTATGAAGTGTGCTGTGCTGTAGAGAAAGAATTCGACAGCCGGTATGTGTTTCGAAGTCGCCAAATGTCGTGCAGAAGCAGGGCATGATTGTGGCTCAATTCTCAGCTGCCGGATTCCTTCCTTCCAGAGCTCATGAAATGCTGTCATAAGATAAAAGTGGAGGGCGAACAAGATCTCAGCGACACTGACAGGTTCTGAGACTCGTCATGACTTTTTTGTGCACCAGTAGACATCCGTTTTGTAGGGATATTTGATCAGCCCACTTGGGTCCCGTTCCAAATCGTCTGCGGATTTGAGGATGGCCAAGACTTGCTCTCGCAATCGGGCTTTGACTTCATCGGATTGGCAGGCGACATAGCTTTTACTGCACACCCTTCCCCAAACCAAATCTTCAGTGCAGAGCGTCTCGTGCTCGAAGTGAGCGTCTTCCAGCTTAGAAAATAGTTCCTCTGCCTCTGCCGTCTGCCAAACCTTCTTCCACAGACCCAGTCGATACTGAGGAGTGCCCATCTCGTACATCTCATAGACGTCCCTCAAACTGGCCACCCATTTCTTCGCTGCCCGATCCTCCAAGTTCCATACAAGCCCTAGCCTACCACCAGGCTTGAGCACTCTATGGATTTCACGCAGGGTCTCAATCTGAGCGAACCAGTGGAAAGCCTGAGCGACGATCACAGCGTCTTGGGAGGCGGACTCTAAGGGAATCGCGAACGCTGTCCCGTCCAGAATGGGGACATTGGGCAGAATGTCAGCGAAAGTTGCTCGCATGGAAGGCGATGGTTCCACGGCCGTGAGGTGGTAATTCTTCGATGCGAGAAGCCTGGTGAACTTGCCCGAGCCTGCTCCTAAATCAAGGACAGCCGATTCGCCAGAACGAAGGCCGAGGTGTTCCTCCAGACAGTCGACTGCATCTTCAGGGTAAGACGGCCTGGAGCTCTCATACGCAACTGGCTCCGAATCGAAGCCTTTCACTGCGACCTCATGAACTTTTGGAGCACTCGCATTCGAAGGTGGCGACATTTTCCCTCCGGCCTTCCGATTGTTCCTACAACATGCATCCAGCCATGTGAAAAGATCAGCGAGGTACCGATCGTGTCAAGAGGTCCAGTTTGGCCTCAATAGCCTCGTAAGACAAGGGCTCATGAGATTGGAGACAGATTTGAGGTCATCATCAGAATCGATTGATTCTCGAAATTGGACATGGGGAGGAATTGCAATGCCCATACAAGATCACAGTGGCGGTATCTTGTAATCTTCTCCTGGTCAAGTTATAACGAACATAAGTGCGGAGCATCAGCGGTTTGGATACCTTCTCCTCTTCGGACTGGAGTCCTCATAACAGCAACCCAGAACGTACGTTCTTTAGAGAACCCTGGAAGCTGGTATTTTGATATATTAAATTGAAATAAATCAGTGACTAGAGCCAGCTTTCCACAATTTGCAGATTTACTATGACAGACATGCATCACGATCTACTAGAAGATTTTTGGACAATGTAACGAGTACAGTTGGTTAGTGAGGGTTGTCTAGATGGATGCAATTTTAATAGTTCAAATCAAAATTATTTTCAGACTAAATAGTTAAATCACAATTTGTTGAAAGACATTTAAGAACGGATATCATAGCTTGGTTGTTTGTACTCTAAAAATAGTCATTGCATTGTAGTAGATGTGATCAAATAAATTTATATGTTTTAATCAAACAACACCTGAATATCAAGAACATTATCAGTAATTTGATAAATATTTTAACATGAACAAGTGATTTACACATTAAAAAAGGGTATTCGCAGATTTATCTCTCTAGTTCACAATTATAAATACATGTGATCTACACATTTCTAAAGAAACATACAACCCAAATATACATTGACATCACATTCTTAACATATGCATGGATGGTATTCCAAAGGGTCAGTTATCTAGTTCATCACTCTACGCTTGAAATATAGTTTATAACCACAACTCATGTCATGTCATAGATGACAGAAAAGAGTTCCTGTATTGGTAGAAGATCATTACTTGGATTAGTTGTCAAATAATAGCTGAAAATAACAAAGTAAATTAGTATCAAGATGTGTATCTTACTATATATATTCATGATAGTTCATTCATGTTAGTACTATTAATCAGGCAAATAATTGTATGAGTGTCTTGAAACTTTTATATGCTCACAAAATCTTCTGGAACCAACCAAATATCTTACATGAATAAATGCTCACTTTTCTCTAATTATATATTAAAGCCTAAAAAGATGATCCGCGATTCACTCGAATTATAACTTACAGCTTTTCCATACATCAGCTATTACTCTTTTCTGTCAATGTTGCATCATAAAGATGTATTATCAAAGCATCCGATAGAGTAGAAAAGAATTTACAGCCAATAAAAATTAAGAATTGCAATAGAGATGTTTATAGCATGAACTAGGGAGACAATAAAACACACTGTAGTCCGCACAATCTTCTGCAGATTGCCACAGCGCTTGCAACTCATATTTCTTTGGAAACTAGCCAAAAGTTTAGTAATCAACACAAAAATTGAAGTGAGCACTCCTCATAATTGCCATTTTCAGTAAAACACTTGTTCTTTTGGTTTTGGAGGATTCTAATCATGATATTTAGGTACTGGGATTCACCCGATATCAAATAAGCTGAATATTTGTAGTGTAACAGAAGTTTTATTTTCAGGAGATTTACCCTATTTCCATTAGTCTCAGTATGTTTAGAGACACCTATTCTTGTCTAACTTTAAACCTATGTATTTGGGGTTTTAAGAGTAATGAATGAATGGGCATGAAAGGTTTTATCATAAAACCTTTCATGCCCATTCAAAACTTTTGTGTCATTGGGTGAATCCAATTTATTCATTAAGATTTCTTTCAATACTCACTCTTTTAGAGATCAAATGATCTTCTCTAGTTTGACAGAAAGCAGTTCATCTTTGTACACAAAATGCGACAACAAATCTCTCTTCTACATCTAACGCTTCTTGTCTATCCACATCCTTCATCTTTACGTTGGATTCAACCTTTATTTCTTAAAACTTGTGTGAAGACCAAAGTTAATGATACTTTCTTAATACTTATGAGGAAATCAAGAATTTGATAATAATTTTTTTCTGCTATAAAACAGATTATGAAAACAAAAATATACTTTATGCAATTCATCAAGAAATGTTGATGATGTATGAATGTAAGATAATGACTATTTTTATCTCATTTGTTATCTAAAAATAATAACTAAACTATTTTAGTATCAAAAGGTTCTATTGTGATGAAAAATGATATATTTTATGTCGTCAAACGTACATTACCTCAAGTCAAATATATATATTTAATATGAAAAATATACTAATCATTTTTGGAATGTAAAATTCAACCGCTCTTGAGTGGAGCTCTGAAAAGGGGGAGTCTAGAATAAAACTAGACAATAGAATTATGCTAACAGATTTCAAACATAACAATCTATACACGTTTGAAAATAATATCAATTCATAGCAATATTATTTGAGATGGAGTCAATTTTACTATATCTCAAATTGAAATTATTCATGTATAGCATTCTAAGCTAGGTTAAAATGTGTTAAAGATTGAATATGAATCATACTCAATACTATGAACATATTAACCTAGTTATGAAAGATTGAGCATTATTTAATTTTGTAATAAAATTTTTAATTTCAAAAATGTTAATAATTTTTCATCGCTATCCAACATGCATTTTGAGTTGCATATTATGATAACCTTCAAGATATGGAAATCAATGATGAATATAAACAAAGAACCAATTATTTTTTAAAGATATGTTTAATCATATTATGATTTTGTTTTACATCACATATCACGATAAGTTGTATGTGATTTCTATGTAAATGAAATCTAAATATATTCATTTATTTATTTGGTTTATAATATTGATGATGAAATTATTAAATTATGAAACATATAAAATTTAAAAACTTCAAGTCTTTATGACATGCTTGATAGAGAGTAAGATAGAGTACATCTCAATTGATAAAATTTATTGAACGATAAATTAAACAAACGGAAGTATAAATTTGTTTCTTATAATTTAGGATTTTGGATATTGATTTTTATCTCAATACGATTTTTTTGCTACAAAACTCTCACTGAGAGGCGGCAAATTAGTCAAACAAGCTTTCGGCCCTCAAACGCGCCTTCTCGCGAGTTTCCTTGGTCAGTTCCCGCATGATGCTTTCGCGAGGGCGGAACTTCCTGCTGTTGAATTCTGATAAGAGAAAAATGGAGATGTCAGTACGAAGTCACGGTTGAGCCAGAAACTATTCTCATATCAACAGCTTCAAAAGACAGTGCAAAGGTAGCTAGTTACTCACCTCCCGTGATACCGTTTCTGTCCTCCTGGTGGAAGAGGATGCGGGAGGAGTCGGCCCAAGCTGTGAGCTTAATACGGTAAAGCTGTGGAAAGCCAGGTCAATATTAGTCCGATCAATTACACTCTGCAAGGCAGCTTTTGGTTTGACGGATTCACAACCATCTGCAATGGCATATATCCAGCTATGGCGTACCTTGAAGTAAGGGTGTTCTAAGTCGGGAAACCGGAGAACACCAATGTCCACTAGAGTCTGCTCGTGCTTCTCATGCTTGACCCAGAAGGCCTCAAAGGAGTCAACCGCGGCACCACTTTGAGCAACGATCTTGGCAAGAGTATTGATGTCAATCTTGGTTTGGTTGAGAACATCTTCGTCGTCGATGAGCTTAGAAAACCACGACTTGACCTCACGGACAATCAGCGCATCCGGGCTACCGTCGAATTTGAAGTCGCTCGAGCTTTCTTTGATCAGCTTATCGGACCGGGCAACCTCTTTATGAAAGGGCTCGAGAAGCTCATGCTGCATCATAGTACTCAAGATGGACTTCCAGCTCTTGTCGGCGAGCTTTCCAATGGTGATCAAGGTGCCAGCGATCATGATTTTAAGATTTTCGTCCAAAGCCTTGACTGAATCACTGGTAAGGTCGCCGTAAGATGGAGCAAGGTTGGTGTGAAGGTACTCATCACTGTGCGAACTTCGAACATTGCACTGTAAAATATGAAGCACATGGTAAGTAAATAAATCCAAATGGTGCCAGACAAAGAGCCAAGGTTGAAAACTAGAGCTTACCTTGCTCCAATTGAAGGTGCTGACAATGGAGCCAATATCCTCCTTTCCCCCGCCAAAGGCGGACAGGATGAGTCCAGGAGCTAGAGCCATGGTGTTATAAAAAAAGAGAGAACGAGGGGTAAAGATGAGGACGGAGAAAGCCGTGCAGATGTTGGAGCTGAATTAAGAACATGAGGTGTCTGGAGATCAAAAACTCACAGGAAAGTTAGAGGATGAAGCGTCTTTATATAGGTATTGCAAGGTGTCGGCTGCTGGTATTTTACGGCTGTTTATATTCCTGGCACACTTGACAAGGTCATGGCAGAAATGCAAAATTCGTCGAGCGGGGAATCTGACGAGGACCGGGAGACCAGCGTGGACAGGGACACGATGGTGGTCGATTCTCGCGAAAAGTCAAGGTTAGAGATGGAAAAGGAGAAGCTGGAGGTGGAGTTTGGACTGGATCCGACCGTCCTCCTTAATGAGTAATATATCGAATTTAAAAATTTACTGTTTAAATTCATTTAAATTCGATAATTGTATTCCAAGTAGATGAGTTAAACTAGATCCCCATCAAACCCCGCCGAAATGCGACTAATATAAGCAGGCAGAAACTTGGAGGGATTGATAGGAAAATGTGTAGACGTTGACAAGGTCTCCTGTAAAAAAAAGAGGAACGCGAGAGAAAATCCTTTGGTGGGATAGGATTTGATCATTTGATTACCAGGGGACCTCTAAATCTCCTATATTACTATTGCTATCGGAAACTACCACTACTAAATTTTATAAAATCATACTTTAGACGGAAGAATAGTAGAATTAGTAATGTGCAATTTGAAACACACATTTTTTCCATAACTTGAACGATTTTATCAATCTATGCCCAAAAATATCAAAGAGTTTTAAGATGTATACAATAAAGATGTAAGATGTATTGTCAGGCAAACCAAAGATGATGTACTTTTTAAGATGTATCATTTTTTTATTCATTCATATTTTTAAGATTCATGAAACAAGTGATTACATGTTAGCAAAGAGAAAAAATATTCATAAGATAAATATCAATATAATACATTCTTTTAAAGTATAAATGCATGTAAACAGTAAATAACAAATGTTTTCATATTTATGTGGCATCCTTGTTTTATCAACATGTTAACTGTAAACACATCTGCCGACATGCACGTTAGAGAGTAAGATAGAGTACATCTCAATTGATAAAATTTATTGAACAATAAATTAAACGAACTGAAGTATAAATTTGTTTCAAAACTTGTGTGTCATTGGGTGAATCCAATGAGTGTTCCTCAGTAGACTGTTGTGTGAAGAGAGAAATATTGAAGTTTATTCACTTTGTAAATTTGAGGGGAAATAAAATTTGAGAGGCATTACATGTAAAGAACTGAATGGGTTAAGTGATCTACGGGGCTGACACGACTTATTTCGGAGATGATTTCAACGATCACATATTCCTAACTAAGACCCCGTTCCTGTTAGAGCGTCCTCCTCCTAGATAGGCCATTCCATGACTCTTTACACGCCCGAAATGTGACGAGATAAAATGACATATACTCCCATTAATACGACCGAACATTACACAACGTAGACTCACTCAGCTGAAAGAAACGAATGAGGTCAAAGAACATATGGAGTGGAAAAAGCCCAAAAAAATGTATGAAACCTGTGGTAAGAGTAGCAAAAAAAAGAAGAAGCGAAATAGGGAGTTTCAATTCGAACCAAAATTGTCACAATTTGAACGCCTAATTAACTGTTAGAACCCCTTTCAACAATGTGAGTATACGACGAAGGCAGTTGTCTCCATCTGATTGACATCAGATGAGAACCACATCTACCACAGTTGCTGGGTGAAATATGACAGCAACAGGGTCCAGATCTGTTGCGACCACCATCATCGCGAATTTACCATATCGTACCCTCTCCCACTGGATAGGGACGGAATAGAATACTGAGAATGGTGACATGTTACTGTCTGGTGTTCAGCCCATGGAAATTCAAACTGGTGCTTCAAAACGTAGATAATAGGACTATATTGCTCTGATTGAAGGTATCTATCATAGACACCGAAACATCTACAACTGCCCAATACTCCCATCTGTGTTCTCAACTACAATGGTCGCAGAATATTAGGCTGTCCTCGATTGTGGTATAATGTCACTCAATCTGTTACGGGTGCTAAATTCATGTCAGCAGACTGTGAACGGCGCTTTGGTCCTCTCTCTTACAAGTAGCAGGATGGCTTCCCATCTTGTTCTCCTTGAGTTCACGGGGATGATACATATCCGATACTTAATACTCATCCTTTGTTTTTAGACACGGTAACCCAAAAAAAACTTGAACACTGGGACCTGGTGATACAGTTGAATCTGAATCTACAGCAATAAAACCTGGTCATAAATGAAGCATGAAGAATGATGTACTGTTACTCGATCAAGAAGTGTTCAGTTACAAACACGAGTGACAATAGAAACAGGCTAAATTTACTAAAAATTACAGAATGTTACAGATTCCGGAAGATTTTTTATGGATGTTGGATCCACTTGAATTCACTCAAGTGCTGTACACTTGTTCTATACAGACAGTAATGCTAAGCTGATAATTTTCTAGAAAATACAACGTACATAGGATCTGTCCTGCCAGGGTTTGGTGAGAGATCCAGTGCCTGCGGAAGAAAGCGACAATGACGTGTCAATGGCCACATCTGGGACATCGACCAAACCAACAATCTATGTACGATCAGACTATTTTCTGAACCTCAAGGGAATGGTTCATAACACTACCACCGCCACAGAGAGATGATGTCGGTATGTTGTAAGGTAAGCCCTGGAAACACTGACCATGCCCACTTTTCTGAATACAAAAAATATTTTTTGAAATGAACTCAGGATAGACAGAAGTTACCTGCGGAGGTTCAAAGCCCCCAGCGTAATGGAAGTAGGACCCCACAATCCAAATGTGGTCTAAATCGTCGGTTGACGTCCAGATCGAAATTGCCTTCGTAAAAAAACAGCGGTTTGAAAAGCTGGAAAGAAGCAAAAAATCGTTACGTCTACTATAATATGTTGCCAGAATGTCAGTCACATTTGATCAAGAAACCATATGGAAAATATGACATAGAGTTCCTCTTTCAGTTTTAGGATGGCTAGAATAGAAGATCCATGTCGACAACTGCTATGGATTATACACCACGGAGAAATTGAGGGATTTGCTGAAATGTGGAACAGCTCTTTTAGTGGTTGTTCACCATGAGTAGGAAATATAACGACTCTCTACTAGTGCTGTTCACCCTACACTAAGAATTTGCTCTAGTGATAAGCTCTCGTTCTTGCTTTCCTTTGACTAAAAAATGTGAGGCCAGTCAAGAGGACCATATACTACTTTAAGTCTTCCTCAGCGTCACTGAACAATTCGTCTAATTAGCTGATCAATTACGTCTATATGTCAAGAAATGTCTATGGTCTTTGTCATCCACAGACCACACATCACATCCTCATTTACGCTAAGTTACATAACAAGCTTGTCTACACATCTCATACTGAGAAGACTCACACCTTATTTGTAGACATTTACTTCGAATTCTATTACAACCATACCCGGGTAAAGTTCCTCAAGCTAAGACAAGACAATGTTTTCTAGTGCTTCAACTCATTTGAATTGAAAAAAAAACGTCTGGTCTATGTACCTGTGAGAATCAACGAGGTGTATCTATAATTTCTACTGCTTGTAATGCATATATGGTAGTATGTGAAGGCTAGAAAAGGACCATAAATTCATTCATAAGAGTAAATACCTCATGGCAGCAAGGCCACCAGGCTTGAGAACACGATTCATTTCCTTGAAGACCTCAAGGGGCTTCGTTAGGTAATCCACGCTCACCTGCAAAGAAACTTAGTACAATTAGCTATATATGAAACAAATGGGTCCAGATTCAAAAAGGAAGTGTAGCACTGCAAGAAACTAAACGTGGTTTACATCGAATTAGCAACAACTTTTGGCAGAGTAATCGAAATCACACAAACTGCTTGCGTTGCTACCCTGATAATAGTGAGGAGAGAAGAATTACCGCATTGGTAATAACGTCAAATGTGTTATCCCCGTAAGGAATCTTTGGGTTCTCATTTAGGTCCTGAGCTATATATTCTGTCAAGATCTGCACGTACAAGGAATGCTATTTATCAGCTCTGCAAAGTCTCCAGGTTGAAAGAACACCTGCAATGGAACTCTAAAGGGTAAAAACAAGCAAAAAACTTCTTATAGTGAAGACATTAGGCAAATGCTTCATTGAAACTGGAAAGTACCGGATTTCGTCGGAGTTCGTCTTCGTTCAGCCCCATACCCACAATGACATCTTGCTTATAGTTGTTGGGATAATGAGAGATCTGCCAGTAAGCGTACAAAACATTGTTATGTTTGGTAGGGAGGATCACCTTTAGTCATAGGCTACTGAAGTAAAAGGACCCTATTATTTCTTAAAAAGTTACTTCTCTCCGGAACGAGGTACGACGCGAGGAAAATGTTTCAAGGTACACACCCAACTGCTGCACATGTCGAGCACTGCAACTCCTGGCGTGTTACTGGGTGGGAACACTGATGCATAATACTGGGAGAGGGCCTTGATCGCTGGATCATCAATGTGGGTAACAAAACGAGGATACTCATAGAAGACCTTATCTGGGGCCCTGCGAGCACAAGCACAAAAAGATACAAGGATGAATCTGACAACACATCTCCCTGTGCGTTGCACGACCAATTTGAGGATTCGTTTCACTAATTTCCTACCGTACAGCTCGAAACATACAGTGAAAAGTTCACAGAAATAGATATTTATCTGATCTGCTCAGCTGTCTATTCCGATGTTTCATGAATGCAACTTGCACTTCGAACACAATATAATGGTAAAAGTCCACTTGCTGTCTACGTAATAGCTTTTCTCTGTCCTTCCTACAAACCAGCAATAGCCTGAGATGAAGGAAAAGCGTACTCATCATATCGCTGGAAGTCCTCCTGCTTGAAGGGGAACTTTTCAGGCCACTCTACATTCTTCAGCACCTGCACCGAATCCCGACCAAGTGAACGTGGTCGTCATCAGAATTAGCTACCATACATGTCATTGCGAAAAATTTTCTTAGATATTTGTGCAAGTGCCAAGTTTCTGGGAAAACATTGTATCAATCCTTCGAAAATTCTCGTAATAGAGATCCACAAACGAGAAGATTCTAAAGCGAACAAATGAGTCGTAACGTGAAGACAGAGTAGTCTGCAGGATACGAAGTACAGCTATCGTCTGAATGGCTGTACTTCGTATCCAGACGATAGCGTAATGCCGAAAAGCGAAAAGGAGTTTCATCCGCTCGACGCTTTGCAAACTGCAAGCGGATGAACAAAAGCTGCAATCTTTACCTGAGGAACGGCAGAGTCGACTCGAGAACGGGCGAATGCTGGAGGTGCGGAAGAGGACATGAAGCCCAAGAGTGCTGTGCGCATAAAAATTCCTCGGGAGACGAGTGGAGATCCCGCGATAGACGACCGCAATTGTTCTCGAGGTGCTGAACAGGAGGTCCGAACTCCTCCTGCGAGAATGCGGGAGCAGACAGGCAGTTGCAATCCCACAGTGGCCATAGCTGTTCAGTGCTTTCACTCGACCGGATTCAGACAAACTGCGACCAACTCGTAAGGTAGCCACTCTCCACGCGCGCAATTCATGAAACTTGCCACACGATTTTTTCTGGAGTGCGGATGAGAAGTACAGACTCAATTGTTAATCCTGGCTACAGGAGGAGCTCTGGCTCTGAGGTTAGAGAATAGTCCAGAGGCGCGAGAGGCTCCCTGCCAAGCCGATCGGACAAGAGACGGACATTCCGCCAGCCTCAAAAGGAAGGCAAACGCTGATCGCAGTCGCTGCTGCGTCCTTGTATGTGGCCAGCTTATCCATCGCTGACTGGTCACCGCAGTAGGACCCACGTAAACACTCCACAGCCCCAGCCTTGCAAGGGCTGCTTAAGAGGCGTTACCCCTTCCAGATAACAACAGCGACCTCTCTAAATTCTCTCTTGGTGGGCCAGTCCTCGCACTAATTTACGTTCTTGCTCGGGAAAATGTATTCAGAGGGGTGGACACTGCCAGCCTAACCATGCTCGACCACTGGACGTCTTGTTCTCGAGAAATCCTTTTGGACATAAAACATCAGCAACTGGGACGTAACATCGTTCATGTGAATATTGTGTAGAGAGTGTAGATAATAGTAACCCTTGTGCCGAAAGAAATTTACTACTGGTTCGGAAGTTATTGTTCCTAAGATGGTGATTACATATTTTACCGTTGATAGATCTTGAAGGGTGATTTTGAAGTTTACAGGACTAGTTATGCACAGCCTCATGGACAGAGGTCTAATGGAGCAATATCGACCAAGATTTCTAGTGTATGTCGCTTTGCTTGGTAGGCCAGAGGTTACCATTTTTTTAGAGTATTGTGTACATTACTTAATGTTGTGATCTACTGTACAAAATAAATTGCCCAAGTTAAATTGGGCAATATACATGAAAGCAATCAAACTATGTGATTGCAATCATTCAGCTCATTCAAACTCCAATCTAAACAGTTTGGAAATGTCAATCGTACCAGGTCATATTTTACATCGTGATGGGATTGGTGACCATCCACTTTGGTGTAGTGCTTGGGTTTCCACTCGAAAAAATGGAAGATATTCACAACTTCAGATTCACAAGGCTGTTCTCTGATCCGTTCCATCTGTTTCTGCCATCCCAATTCCACCTGTAGTATTGGCCCTAGTTTCTGGCGAATATCTTCGATCGATGACACCTCAAAAAAATATCACATCCAAAGGTCCTGATGTTTTCAGGATTTTCTGAAATCTTTTGAAAATCCTTTCACTTCAATCATGAAAGAAACTGATCATTTGAATTTCTTTCTATATATTAACTAGGCCATACTATTTATGCCTGAGTTCTAGTTTATTAGACCCTTTCGTTAAAAAAAATATCAGTAGAAAGGTAGGGACCGCAGTTTCCAACAGAAAAAGGGGGCCAACTGGACATTCTCAAACGGTCTGCAAACCTACTGTACTACGAGCGTGAGAGTTACTACTCAAACGTCCCCTACAGTGCACGGCCTTGGGGAACCTGCTGAAACCGACCGGTTAAAGTCCCGTTCCCGCGGTAGATGAGCAGGACTCTCTATATAGGGCGGATTCCGTATCTCAACAAAATAAGGATAATTCTCAAATCAAAATACGAAATATATGTAATTTCACAGAAATCCATGTGCTTTTGGTCGAAATTCACGCAATGTAATATATCTTCGAGAGATGTTATTTTTGACATGTAAATAGAATTTTCCCATTTCAATACAGAGAAATCACTCTCCACACCGTTGCGGTGTTCGAAAATGATCAAACTAATACTCCAAAAAACTGCATGAGTTAAAAAAATCTATTACTAATACCTAGTCAATAAATTTGTGTGAACCGAGAACATCGATTTCGTTAATGTTCGTAATGTTATCGTTCAAAAAACCAAAAGTTGTTTTCGTTCTTTCATTGTTTAATCTCCGTTCTTTTGTTTCCAAGAAAGTTTGAGACGTTTTTGATATATTAAAACTAGTTGAATAATTTCTTGTGTTTTCAAAACTAAAAGTTACTGAGATAACCCAAGAGACAAAATACTAGAACTTGCTTGCTTGAACTCGTCAGGTGTCATCGTAAGCCACCAAGATCAAAAAAAAAATTGTCACAAAATGTCACCTCAAAATTTAGCAGAGTATTTCCTTTAGTTTCTCTAGTAAAGCCAACTAGATCAACGAATATATTGTCACTTACGCTCACCTCAAAGTTTTAGTTGAGTGACTCTCTTAGTTTGGAAGCCATCTAGATAACGAAGAATTGTTTTAGAAATACGTAACTTTGTGAAACCGAAATACGGAAATAGTACTCTCGAGTTCCGTATTTGCCATATTTAGAGAGGTCTAGCCCCGACCGTATGCCATCCGACTGCTTCTAGAATGTGCGCGCTGAGTTCTTCACGGTCGGATGGCATATGGTCGGGGTCGATCTAGCCAAAAGTCTGGCAACCGGGTTCACTCGCTACCGTATCTTCTTGTCTGATGGTGTATCTCACGACGGTTAAAGAATATTCGGCCAGAGGAGACCGACTAGATGACTGTCGGCATCAACTGAGAACTGGAGTTCACGCAGTGGATCCCAACTGGCTGCCATGTCTTATCTGCTGACAGTTGTAGGTCTGTAACTCGCGCGGCTTTCATCGTCCGCAACAAACTGCTGCTGTCGCCGTCGAAAGACGTCGTTATAGAACTTGCACATGGCAGAGTCGGAAGTCCGAAATGTTAAATTCACGTAATCTTCTATTCTTAAATGAGAAAAACATTCGGCAAGCGGAAACTTCGGCAGCCTCCGGGAGCATTCAGGCGATTTGAAAATTCCGTAGTTCCTCCATATCGACGGCCGCGATCTCTCCAAATGAGCATCGCTCTCTGCGGCCCCTTCCCGCCAGGGGCGTAGGGTTTTGGAGAGCTAAACGTCCCGTCGCCCACGAGATGTTGAGCCAAGCAGCAACATCAGCAACCCTTAAAGTCTGGCTCCAAAATGAGCATGTCAGATGAAGCGTCTACGAAAAGTGGCCTTGGAGATCTGTTGTGATGATTGGGTAAAGCCCTTCATCATATGAAAGTTCGGAGGATCCGAGCTGCTTAGCGCGCGACTTTTTTTTTTTGGGGGTTCCTTGAGAAAGCGATTTTCGTAGATGGTCCATTGCCGAGGACTGACTGCTGTCATTGCATCGGAGATTTGAACACTTGCTTGTCTTGTTCCATCTAGCTCTCAAAAAGTCTCCTCAGTCCACAAATCTCGGAAGCGCGGAGGAATTTGGTCCAATTGCGTTCCAATCTTAGGGTGGACAATTGTCGTGGGACGAAGGACGTGCTGAGTGACAGGGCAAAATTTTCAGGGCTGGTTGAAGTGTAGAGGCTTGTGGACGTGAGCGGGAGCCATGATACGATTGGGATACTGAGCAAGACGTGCGAATTGAAAGTTTGAGTTTGTGTGTGGCGACTACCTGCAATAGAGCAGGATGGAAGAAGCCCCCCAGACGGTTTTGATTGGTGTGGACACAAATTTTGACACGAACCTTGTTGTGATCCCCCAACGCAGTGCGACCATTGGCGATGTTCGAGGTGCGCGTACTTCTGGATGATAATGATTGAATGCGTGTTGAGTTTCATCGATTGATTTGAATTTCCGAGTTAATGTTATCACTATTGTCGCCAATCAGTCTAGACTGTTATTGTCAAAACATGAACATTTCTTCGCCTTGTTTTTAAATTGCGTAGATTGTGATTTGCTGTTGGGAGAAGGCAGGCGAAGTATGTGCTAAAAGATTCCTGGGTAATTTTACGTGTAGTATTCCGCGAATTCGCTTAAACCTTCACAGAGGATAGCGTCCAACTCAGTTCCCAAAAAATGTCGAGTGGGCAATTTGGGATAGGTAGTATTATCAAAAATGGAAGTGCTGGCTTACCAACATAACTTTTGCTGCTCTGGAATCTCTTCCCGTTTCTAAAGTTTTTCTTATTGATCCTGAAATCTGAATTGGCCATCACAGAAAGAATTATCAAAGGTCACATGGCACTCTATCCCGATTATGGGACCATAAACATCCGTGCCGTGAAGGTGAGTGAATTCTTTTATAACCAATCGAGTAAGCATGACATGCGCCAGTACTTAGCTCTGAGCAATTTGAATTTCGGTCGTCTGTTTTGAGCATTGCCTTGAAATGCTTTGGTGTGCCAATGGCACGATCGAAATCAACAAGATCTTTCAATGGGACCTGCATGTTTTGGCTTTTTATCACCTTTGAAATTGAAAGACAGGTGCGTGCTGGCGCTCCCTAGGCTTTATGGTCTAATCGTTTTCCTAGAGTTCACAGTGCAAGTAGTAAAGCCAATAGCTCTACGCATGAAATTCGATCACAGTTATTGGTCACTGACTTGTATGAGTGATGATCTTGATCATCAGTGAGTGCCGCCCCCAATAATCGCGTGATTATTGGGGGCGAAAGTCCTACTCCTTGTCTGATATGTGTCTTGTTTTCCTCAGGTTGAGATGTTCAACCGACAATACCAGCTGGAGGACACACACTCGGTTGGTCAAATTTTTAGGGGCTGGCAAGGTAACTTGCATGTAGAATTGGAGGGCTATCCGCCTCACTCATCTACAGTGGCGGGCTTGAAATTACCAATGATCAGTGCACCCGAAAAAACACTTGTTGAGCCCAGCACGGTTCGCAATCGACCTCTTTCAGCGATTTATGAAGATGCTGACATGAACAGGGAACTGTTAGATAAACCTTCGTCCTCGTCTCCCAAGCAATGTGAAAGTATTTTGCCTGGGCAACAAGGTCTTGATATCTCACCAGTTATCAACGCCCAGTCACAAGCTCCAGCTGACGCCTTGGATGACGCTGGAACTCAGAAAAGCTCCGATGGCCGGAACAGCTCTGAGAAATTTTACCGAGATCTTTCACAGGATGTTGTCCTTCAACAGCAGAGTGGAGCTGACGGTCAAGGGAATGTGACAGTCGAGACAGGGTTGGATACAGCTTTGGACGCCCTTCTTAGTGTAATGCCTGAGGGGCCACTGAACGCTGGGGCGAAGAAAGACCCTGTTGTAGATTATAATGGGCTTAATTTGGCAAACAAAGACGCGTTTGGAGGAGCGCAAGGTTCCACTCAATCAACGCCGAGGAACCTTGAGAATCAATTTAGTGGCGATAGTGGAGTATCCAGTAAAAGAAAGAGGCAAGTGGGAAAGCTTCTGAAGTCAACAAGTTCTGGGGACCTTCCAGCTGATCAACGATTATCCCTTCCGGAGTATTACAAACAAGATGGAGGTTCAGCAACGAAGAAATCCAGGATGAAAGAAAAGTCTGATAAGGGCATAATGGAAATAGATGGAAGTCTGGTGAATGCGATACCAGATCCTCCTGAGAAGACCGTTGATGGGAAGAATGATATCAGAGCAGGATCTGAAACGTCGAGCAGTGAATCCGGGTCTGAGAGACAAGAAGTCAAAGCTAGTCCCAAGCGTGCTGACAAATTTGAATTACTTCACGTAACGTCGCCTCCGAAGGGTAATCAGAGTGCTGCCATTCCCCAGGGCAAGATGGTTGAGGAAGATGTTGTCAAAGCCACGCAGGGTGGGAAGCTACCCGCGGAGTTACCATCTAGGCCAAGTAGATCCTTGTCTTCAGGAAGTAGTACGAGCCAAAGTAGTGATAGTAGTGAGGCGAAAGAAAACTTGGAGATCAACCTACCAATCGAATCTGCGAAGCCTCAAGAGGAAGCTAGCAATGCCAATAGCAGTTCCGGACACTCAAGCAAGTCTTACAGACCTGATGGCAGCACTGGAACGAGAGAAGTTGATGAGGTGGTCAACAAACTTGTCGATCTGTATTCGCCAATTTTATCCGACGACAGTGGAGGGGAAGAGTCGAGTGATGCAAGTGAAGAACTTCAGGCCAAGGGTAAGACTTTCTGCCTGCAGATGCACGATGTCCAACCAATTACACAAACCTATAACAAGTTTATACTTCACACGATAGATGACTGACTTACAAACCTCAACACTTAGAGCTAGCCACCAAATGATGATAGGTGCCGAACCCCTTCGAAGAGTTTGAGCAAGTGCTTGAAGTATAAAATTGTAATTTTCGCTTCCTAGATAGTAGGTCTATGGACTATAGCCTAAGCTTAGAGAAGAGAGTAGTTTCTTCCTTCGTACGTCTGTCAGTACGTTTTGTTATTCTTGTGATGCGTAGACGATCCCTTCCAGCTTGTCTAGAAGTTGAAAATAAGCTGCATCAACCGTTAACCATGTAGGCCTTATAGATAGTATCTGTGGAATGGGTAAGATAAGTTCTTTCTGCAACCACTCAGGCATAGAATTACTGTAAGCGCTCTTAGTTCTTTGAAGCATTGCTGAAATATGATGTGGACAAACACATGCGATTGATCAAGAAGACCTGCGACGAACAGGAGGATCCTTTTTCACTGGTCATGATGCGGCTCCCTTCTCGTCACATTCTATCAACTCATTTCGGTAGAAGCGAGGAAGACTCATTCTTTCGTTTATGCTGGTTAACAGGGTTGCGGAGGAGAAAGAGCTCGAATGTCGTAGATCAGGCCTACGATACTGTGGAGAGAAAGGGTCGAAGAAGTCCACGAGGTGTATCTGGTCTGAACTACAAGTAAGACGCAGAATATGCATGTTTATCCAGGCTTGAACCCTCCGAAGTCAGTATGAAACTCACATGTATAATTTGTCAAGTATTACACCCAGGCAATAACTCACGATCACTGATCTGTATTCAGGTTCCAGCACTTTATTGACAGCCAGGATGGTTTGGACGAGCTCCTAGGTTTGACGTTGAGCCAAAGGAAGCCGAAAACTACCTCTCAAGTCGAACATGAGCCTCAGCTACAAGTTGCGGAGGTGGGTTCTTTGGCTCATGATAGCCTCTCCATCGATCGCGTGCCAGACACGCAGTTGGGTGGCGCTAGCTGCGATGTTGGTACACAAAGAGATATTTATACCGAAGAAATAATGCACCATGAGAAGACACCAGGAAAAGAATCCAAAAGCGGGGACGACAAGAGGGTGGAAGACGGGAGTCTTGATGTGCGACAGGATGAAAGAGATGAGAAGAGGTCGAAGAGCAAACAACCTGCCCGGGGTTCGGATGCAAATGATATTCCTCCCGAATCTCTTAAGCAGTTTGCCAATATTGCAAGCGAGTCCGGGAGAAAACTAGATCCCAACGAAGATCTCTTGCCGCCTAAGTCGGACGATTCCCAGCAGTTTCAAGCAGCCGTGCAGCTCACTAGGCTCGCTATGGCGGACGAAGATGAAGCAGAGTCAGACCCAATGCAATCACCGAGGAACAGTCCTATAGAGAAGAGGAAGAAGAAGAAGAAGAAGACAAAGGTGAAGCTTGATACGTCAATCGCTGAAGCTCGAGACGTTGACGAGCCCGACAACATCGAGAATTCACGAGGGATCGAATCAGCAAGAAGTGGATTAGCTGCTGCATCAAATGGCGGCGAGAAAGAAAGTGCTTCTGTTCAAGCGGAACACTTGCCTGAAAGTGGTCTAAACTCAACCATTGTGCAGGCAGTTCCAGAGAGGCCGATTAGCGATGCTTTAGAGAAAAGTGTAGAGGAGGTCAATGCTCTGGTAGAAACAGGCGGGATGAATGAGAAGGTCATGCATGGCGATGATTTAGAGCAACCGCTGGTGAAGGGGAGAATGGTGGGAGCTGATTCTGTAGATGAGGATTTAGGGGCTTTAGATCGGACCCATGACAGCATCGAGTTAGATACTCCAAGCAAGCCATTGAGGAAGAAGAAAAAGAAGTTGAGTTCGAGAAGGAACAGGGAGGAGAAAGAGAATGAGCTGGACGTTCTACAGACACGAGGAGACGAGGCAGTGGAGGAGCCCCCTACTACGACGAAGAAGACTGAGATTGTTGCCAATTCTGTCGAAGATTCCCTTCAGGGAGCTGAAGGCCACGATGAGCCATACATCATTGAACCTGGAGAGAAGTCTGGACGGAAGAAAAAAAGCAAGAAGTCTTTTCGAGTCTCGGATTCCTCTGAGAACGAGAGAAGAGGTGAGATGCTAAGTCGGAGTTTGATGGAGGAGAACGAGACATGGAATGGCCGAGGTTCTGACAAGAAAGAGTCGCTCAGGCGCAGGTTGGAAGTTGAGGAGTTCGGGGCGGAAGACGTACTTGGTGGTCAAATTGGGAGGGCTACTGTAATCAGTCCACAGAAGAAAAAGAAGAAAAAGTCGAAAGGTGACGGTGAAAAGTACTCTGTGGAAGGTGAATTTGCAAGCGCAGATGATGCTCCTTCAAGAGTGACTCAGGCGAAACTTTCAAATGCAGGCCTAGTATCCGAAACTTCTGATATTGTGACGGATCGAATGGACCTCAGAGGTGATAGCAGGGCCTTTCCAGAGGGAATGGTCCAGCACGTAATGGATGAAGAAAATCGAGCTATGTCCCCTGTCGCTGTAAGCAAGAAGGGTAGAAAGAAAAAAGTTTCTTTTGTTGAAGAGGAAATTGACGTGGAGCTGGAGCAGAAGCAGTCAGACCAAGTAACTTCTGATGTAGAACCCTTCATTCAGGTTTCCGACATAGGTCAAACCAAGCCTCCGAGACCTCGAAAGAAGTCTACAAATCAGACGGACAGTTTTTCTCCCCTTGGTGAGAAGGCCAGCTTACAAATAATGGAATGTGTGGTAGCGGCTCAGAGTGATCAGTATGTAAAGCTTTCGAGAAAAAAGGAAGGCAAGGAAGCGAGGAGAAGAAAGCTTGTAGGAGTAGAAATCCTTGAGGAAGGAGGAAAACAACCAGACAGTCCTGTGAAGGAAGCGGACGGTACCGAACTTAATTCTGCGGGCAAAAGACCTTTCGTGGAAAACGAAAAGAGGAAGGTTAAGCAGAGGAAATCACAAGTAATTGATGAAGTCATTCAGTCGGATGTGGAGAATGTCAACAGCAGCCCTGCCGAGGAGAATGGATTAAAGACGAACGAGGGTAGTTTGGAGGTGGACGAAGTGGAGAATAGCTTTCAAGTAAGCAACAAGGGAACTCCTACACATACGAAGAGGTCGCTAGCTGCCGCTGAGGAGGATGCCGATCCTGTCATCAGCAATCAGGAAGGTAATCGTGGCACTGAAGCGCATGAGCTTGAAGGACTAAAAGGACACCCTCTGACAAGGCAGGCCAAAAGACGAGGCAGGAATGCGATGAGCGATGTTGATCAAGTAATCAACGCTCCTTCACCTACAGTGGAGAAATCGGGAAGGAAGACACCGAAATCAAAGAAGGGAAAGAGTCTGAAAAGTCCAAGAGTAAATGGTGTGACAGTAACTACTTGACCCACTGCCATCTAGAACATCCAGTAAGGTCTGAAGTCTGCTTATGTATATTTATCAATAATTGTGATCTCGGATTAGGCCGATAGGTTTCTAGAGCGTTTCATATTGTTCCTCTGAATCCTTGTAAAGCATTCGGGGTTACCTAGGTAGTGACAGGAGGCGATCGCAGGTGATGCAGGTGAGACTATCAAGTTTCTTCCAAGAGGAGCAGGCGGTAGATTTGTGAGTCCAATAACAGGACCTTCTGAAGAGAAAGTCCCGTGTGAACATCCTGGTTGCACGAGGAGTTTTCCGAGGAGGACGTCTTCGTTGTTCAGGCATCTCAAGTTTTGTAGCAAGAGGCCTGATCGCCCGAATGAAACAAAGTAAAAGTCTGGAAAGGAGGATCTTTCTAATCAAAGGCAATCGGATGATGTGTGGTCATTTTGAAAGAGGAGTGTTGGTGAGAGGCCAGAGATCAGCCCTCTCAAAGAAAATTAGAACCGGATTTGTAGAGCCTGAGCTACCTCTATGCCCGTGAGTTTCCAAATGTGCCTGCAGACTTATGTACAGAGTTTAAAATCAGCCTTAACGAAGTAGAAATTAAACCACAGGACGGCCCAAACGGCCCAAATAGCGTACATCGATCTCCACTTCGTCTGTGCAGAAAGTGGAGGTCCGGATGGTTGGTGCTATGGGAGGGTTCGGGAGGGCAGTTTTGTACATGTAGCAGCCCGAGGATGAAGAAGGGAGTAGAGTGATGTCCTTTGTTGCTCTGAATGTTTCCTTTAGTCTCAGTAAATGAGTTACACCAGATCTTGTACGTCGAGTATTCAAAGCCAGAATTTCAAACTTAAATTCTTAGAACCCCGGGCATATTTCATCCCCTTCAAATCCCGAATTCTCAACACATCCCGTGCAAGGAGCCAATGAGTATTCTTGACACCCAAAATCAGCCAAAGAGAGTTTGATATGACTTGAATCTCAGTGAAGTTTGGGATCTGATTCTCCACACGGAGGGATTAAAAACCACACAGCGAGTAACATCAAATTGTTTAAACCAGAGTTTTCACTAGGATCCCGAACAGGATTTATGCCCTTTTTCGTCCCTAGTTTCAACAAGTACCGAATAAATAGCCATGAGTACTCTTAGTGCTCCAAACCAATCAAGAGAATCTGATTTGTCGTGAACCTCCATGAAGCTCAGGAATGGATTCTTCACGGACGCCGATGCGAGGTCGAGAGCCATAGTAATCAGGCTTTCACTAAAACGCTATCATCTCAACTAAAGGCGAAAGAGATCGAAACCAAATCAGTTAGAGTCGAGTTGGTGGAAATTGGGCAACTTTATGTAGGAAATGTTCGGAGTCAAAAACCCGGTTCGTTGACAGATCAGAAACAAATATATCTATAAGCAATAGTACGCCTCAATCGTCCAGTGTCCGTACAGGTGAGTTCAATTCTTTCGTGGAATGCCCTGGCGGTCGAACGAGATACCTCCTACACTGTGCAATTGTACAATCTACAATTAAGGTCGACCCGCATCCTGGAAAGGTTCAGTGAAATAAACAAGTGTGCAAAACTCAAACAACATTCTAAGAGGAGACGATTTCCTCGAAAGGTTGCACAATGACAAATCCTGGGGCTCCTTTCTCGCCGTCGAACTTCATCTGGAAGCTCTCGCCACTTCCGCGCCCCAGCAGCGTCTTGAATTGAATGTCCGATTTCATCTCGGGTTTCAAATTGCCCGACCACGCAACCGTGGCCTGGGGATCGGTGAACACCGGCGGGTGACCTTCCCCGACGATGAGCGAGATTGGGTGGCCGTGACTGAGAATGGCGATGAACCCGTGACCGCTGAGCTTCACATTGTACAGGCCTGCGGAAACGATGGACGACACCTTCTTCATCATGGTGATCGTGTGGCTCACGGTGGGCTCGAAGGCCAGCAGATCGTTGCCGTTGACGACGATGGAGTCACCCTGGAGTCTGAGCACCGAGACGATCTTGCCGTAGTCCGCGACGTAGACTTGGGCCCGCTCCTTGGTCGAGGCTTTGGTGAGCGTCATTCCCTCGTCCGTCAGGGCCTTTTTCAACATGTTGCCGAATCCGTGCTCCATCATTCCTTCGCGCGCGAACGAGGCCTGGCCCCTGTACGCCACCATCGAGCCGGTTTTGATCCACACGTAGCTCATTATTTCGCCGTTCGTCCCTGGAATTCCCAGGTTCACTTCCAGCATTTTGTCATTTTGCACCTCAAATGGCAGTGCATGCTGCCGCTGCGGCGTGTTGGCCTGCACAAACTGATCCAATGTCATCGCCATCGCGCCTGATCTCTTAATTCTCTTCTCTTCCTCTCCCCACACTCCGCTGCGGTCGAACAAATCAAACAAAATTGAAAACCTCTAACCAATCCTCCTCTCAAACTTTTCAACAGATCGTCTCTCTCCTCTCGCTTGGCGAAATAGAAAGGCGATCAGCTGGAGAATATCGTCGTCCGCGACGAAATTTATACAACTCTACTTCTGCAGACCTCGACTCGACTCGACTCGATGTGCCAAGACATGCCTCAGAGCGCGAGGCAGCTGAAGACGCGACGGGTCAAACGCTGACTCTCGTCTAATTTTGGGCAAAGTCGTCCGGGCTCTGCTCGACGAGCTGGAAAGACTGTCCTGCATACTGACCGAGATCTTCACAATTGCCCGTGTTGCGACGAGCTCATTCTAATTCGGTACAGGGCTCGAGGAAGCTCGTCGCTCTGCGCCAGCTGGCCCAGGCGGTCGATTCGTTACGCAGATCATGAGATCGTCTTCCTTTCCCAGAATCCAATCGAGAGTTTGTCCTCTGGGTGTCAGCGCTGTCGGAAGGGTATCTCTGAGCAGTGACACGTGGAAATCCTGTCAGCGGCGTACCGCGTCAATGGCGACGTAGTTCCTCGTCCTCTTTTCGACTTACTATTTCGACTTATTATTTAAACGTGGGCGCATGCGAAAGTGGATAATACAAGTGTTTGGGACGACCCGGTCGAGCCGTACACGGGGTACGCGTTGGACTGCTCTGGGAACACTTCCGGAAGAAGGGGCGCTTGCCAATCGGAATCGTGTGAACAAAATTCCAAACCGCAACATTCGCAGGCTCAGCCGGACCCGATCGAATGCGACATCGCTGCAGAAGGTTTAGTATCGACTAAAACGAGGCCACATTCTCCGTGAGTTCGATTCCAGCTGCGGTTTCTATGGCGGGTCAATACATAGACAGAAATTCTCGGGGCGAAAAATTTTATCCGTCCTGAGAAGTACCTGCAAAGTACGAATAAAGTGGATTATAGAGGAATCGAAACAGGTCCGACCTTCAGAAAACAGTGCTACGATACGAAACTCAAGTTGGCTGCGAAGGACTTGGGGGGGTGGGGGGGAACACAAGTTGTATAAAAGAATATGAGTGAACTCCAGTGCTGATCGTCAGAGCAGCATTTTGGTCTATGGACGTGGACAAATGCATGTCTGCTCACTATTTTTTGACCACTGCCCCAACCAAAAGGCCCCAAGTACGCGTCTTTTTTCTTTAGAATTTTCAAGTGCTCCGACTTTTTGAGATCTGTTCGTACATCAAAGTTGATCGAATATTAAACAGTAATGAAGAAAAATGAGTTGACATTGTTCTGAGGTCAATTGGTGGGACATAATCGAACAGAAAATATCTGTCCGACTATGTAGCAAAAACACACCTTTTTCATGAAAAAAAATTGCTGAACTAAAATTTTTTCTTGTTCATGATAAACATTCGGATTGAGAAAATTATTAATTTTCTCAATTTACTTATCTTTGGACAGATAAATAGAATTTCTCTGTCCACCTAATTTTAGTATCAGAATATTTATCATGAAATAGTACGGGTTGGAATCCATCTCACTTTATATTTCACATGTTGGTTTCATCATGTAGAATAAAATTTGCTAGAAGGGTATTAAGATTCACAAATCTCTATATCTTATTTTCAAATCATATGATGAAGATATGAACCCATGAATAAACGAAATACTCAACACTTCAACTCTTTCATGTTCAGCTCAATTTGCCAAGGGACCAAACAAGATATCACCATAGAGTATGTCTCAAGTACTAAATTACCATTTTTAATCAGAAAACAAAATAAATAAATAACAAAATAACAAAATACACTGATACTTCAAATTGACAATTGCACCGTCCAATCTTGTCGTGAGATACATACGTCGTAATTTTGTACTCTTGGTACACGTGAAACGCTAGGGTAGTTGTTTAATTCTTGATGAAGTGGGAGTGCTAGCTGCACAACAAACAAGCTTTCAGGTTGAGAAAATGATTTCAATCTAGCTAGATTACTTGAACATCCCAGGTAATTTGTTCACAAGCGTGTAAAAAATGTTGAAAGTCGTATGTGTAACTGCACGTTCAAAACTCTAGAAAAGTATGAAGTTTTTTGTGATCACAAAAAACTTCAAACTTTTCTAGAGTTTCAAATCGGAAACGAAGATGGCGCATAACACAAACCAAACAGAGATCTCCAACAACAACAATGAGTTAACTATACTTGGATGATCCAAAGAATCTTGAAATTTAAAATTGAAATTGAAATTTGAAATTGGCGCTTCACTTTCACTTTCTTCACAAAGTGTTACACGCAGTCGAGCCATTGATAAATCGATCGGGATTCCTTGCACTCAACTGGACTCGGCCCCGGACTGAGCTGGATGGAGTGAGTGCTTCAAATACTGATCTGCTGCAGGAATGAACTCAAGAATGACAAAAAAACACAAGATTCAGGGGTTTATATTGTCTTGGCGAGGTAGTGTTTGTAACCCAGATCTCCAAGAAATTTGAAAAAACTAAATCCTTAGCCGCCAATTCTTGGAGAATTGGCGGCTAAGGATTTTTGATGTGCTTGACGTGTTACCCAAGACAACGCAGCCCATGACGCCATTTCACCGCCGGCATCCTCGCTCTTAAGACTTCTAGGCTAAGGATTGAATGTTTTCAAAATTCAATTTCCTTAGTGCGTGGTACATAACTACGTGCTCTCCCCGTAAAAGCACGTAGTTATGTCAGCACGAATCAGCGTGGGTTTAGAACGTAAGTGGTGTAAGGCTAAGACCCTAACTCCATACTATATAGTACATGCCTTGTTGTCTAAGCACTGAGTTGTCATAACGTTGATTTACGCACAGAAGATCTTCCATTTGTACCTCTATGAAGATAATGACCTGCATAAGTTTTGGAGGGCCATGTTTTCTATTTCTCAAAGTCGCACCATATCTACTAATACCATGTGACTTTGGCTACTGTTGTGAAGTTACACTTGTCATTGCAAAAGTCATGAAAAATTGCTTGCAGTGATCATGCAATATGAATTGTGACTTAATACGCACACACAGCACGGTAGTTCGGCCTTTTGTTTGAGAGTGCACGCGTACATGAGCTTCATTTCTGTGTTGTGACCAACAAGCAGTTGTTCATTCTAATTGTATGAGAAAGAGACCTATCTGCACGATTCGGGTACTAGAAGATGTCTTCACCAGATAAACATCAGAGAATATGTTTGCTTTAAAGATTGCTGCCAGTGGCAAACAAGTCACATAGCGTGACAAGCTGAAGAGCACAAAAATCTTCTATTATGTTCACTTGATCATGTTAAGGGAGGGTAATGTAAGCCATCGAGGTGATCAACCTTGGAAAACTCAACGAAACAAAGATAAGTCAAGGGCCAAATATATTGCCGGAAGTATCTTTTCAACATCGGACCTCATCGAAGAGAAAATAAGATGATATTTAGAGAACAGGATATAGAGGCTAGAGTGTAGTCAGAGTGGTTCTACAGGATAAGCACGTAGTTATGTCAGCACAAATCAGCGTGGATTGTTTGAATTATGTGATGCTAGACCCAACGCCTCCCTCATCATGTTATGGAATACTTCACATGTTGAGATATATATATAAATATGAGGTAGATGATCAGACCTAGACCCACTTCATTAATCCAAGTCTAATAGTCCTTAGGTTTAGAGTTTAAACCCTAAAATCTTAGGACTATATGTCATCTTTCAAATTTTATTACTTTGCATCATAAAAATTCAAAATTTTTAAATTCTTTTCTGTGAAAACATAAAAGAATTATTTAAAAAAAAAATATCTCAGAAGATAGAAAAGAGTAGAACAAAGCTAAAAAAAAATTGGAAAAAAAATTCTTTTATGTTTTCACGGCTTTGTACTACTCTTTTCTATATGTCAATTTGCAAAGGAATGTTCATGATATGCAAGAATTGTTTGTACTACTCTGATCTGTATGTCAATTTGCAAAAGAATTTTCATGATATGCAAGAATTGTTGCAGTTCATCACACATACTAAACTGCTTAGAGTCTACTTAAATACTTAAAATTTATTTCACAAAGCTTTTATCATGTAATCACAAGGATGAATTGATTTTACTCAGATCCTACTAAATTAACTAACATCACAAGTAGCGCTTCCAATTCTCTAACATGGTTGTTGGAGCCACGTTTGATTTGCCTTGACTTGTAATCTGTTTGCCACAATAGAGAGTGAAAAATTACCGATCTCCTCCAATGTATGTTGTTATTAATGTATGTTGTTGTTCAAATCCGGAAAGCTCATAATACACATCCCGTGCTCGTGAATCTTGATCTAAGATGTACATGACAATAGAAATTTTTGTTACAAACAAACCATCTTGCTGAACGAATGTGATGGAATCAATTTCGTTCAGCACAGCATCCGCAGTAGAATGAATGTCCAAACTATTCGCAATGTTTGTCATCAGTTTTGACAACTCTTGACGTTGCTGAGAGATGACTAGCTTTGGAGATTAAATTAGGAAATAGTGACGGAAATCTGCTCAAACAATGACGATAGAGCTTCTGCAATGACCCATCATTGCGTGGACTGGGCTTAATAGTTCGATTGTACTCCATGTGAAACATCAACCGACGATAAAGTTCTAGAAACCAACTGAGAATACTGCCAATTGCTATACATCTTATTGTGTCCTTTGGGCAATTGAAACTCATTTTATTGATGAAATTTTGTTGAGCTTGAAGATGCATTGATGCATATGAAACCTTCATTTCCAATCAATGTGACAACTTAAACATGCAAACCTGACATTGTGTTTTCTCCATCTGAACTTATCAAAATGATCTTATCGTGTCAAAATGCACACACGCTAGCAAGCAAAATCTTGATGAGCTTAACGTAGTTTTGAACGGTATGTCGTTCAAAGACTAGAACCACCATAAGCAATGTGACAACTTCAACGTGCAAACCTGACACTGTGTTTTTTCCATGTGAACTCATCAAAATGATCTTGTCGCGTGAAGATGTACACAAGCTATCAAGCAGAGTCTTGATAAGCTTGACATAATGTTGAGCGGTATGTCATTCAAAGAATGGAACGAGCACAAAAAATGTGACAACTCTAGCGTGCATATATGTCATTGTTTTTTCTCCATTTGAACTAATCAAAATTATCTTGTCGCATCCAGATGTACACATGTTATCAAGAAAAATCTTGATGAGCTTGACGTAATTTTGAGCGATATGTCGTTCAAAGAATGGAAACAACACAATGTGGAAGTTGTACAGCACAATTTTCATGCACACACGAATTTGATGATCAAGGACAGTAACAGCCAAATGTGT